GTAGAAAGGAGACAACACTGGATATTCTACGAGCAATTATATTTTGTAATTCAACAACTTTCTTAACGAAACGAGTAGATTTCTGTTAGTGGTTCTATTTTTTTGGGATTTAAAGATATTAACTGAATGCAAATTATGCAAAATGCGTAGCACAGTCTTAATGTATCATATATATTCTCTTTGCTCGACCACTCTCGTTCCAAATGTAGGTCACTTGTAGTTGTAGGGAGAAGTTTTGGTCCAAAATTTAAGTCCCTTGTAGTATATTTAATGCTTGTTTTCCAATTTTACCCTTATCTAATTCTCATTGGAAAGAGAAACAAGGGAGAGATATGAGAATGATTTTTAAATGTAGAGAGAGGAAACTTTTAATAGGGTTAAAATTGGTAAATTTTGACAATTTAATGCTTTTCTTGGCATGTGAGACTGTTACAAGTGACTTATATTATATATCACAATCAAAGTTTATTGCTATAAGTGCTATCTCTATTCTCTGGGCATTGATTTTTTTTATTTAATTAATATTTATGCTTATTCTTTATAACAGGCTTCTGAATTCTGATGATGCAGGTATGCTTATCTTTCTATGAAGAAAAAAACAAACATGCATCTTGGTTCAGTAAGAGTGAGCGCTTGTATTGGGAGCAATGGTATATTAATCTGAATGTAGCCCAGCATCCAAAGGTTCACTCTAGCAAATCTCATCATTCTAAAGTTGCTGATCCAGGAGGTGATTAAATTTATCCTCCTTGCCTTACCACTACGTAGAGAACTGCTTCACTCCATCTAATGTCTTTTTCCCTTCCTTACCTGTTTCCCATTCTGCTTATGTTTAGAGGGAGCACTTGAAGATAGAAATGCAAGAAGCGCAGCACTTGAATCATCACTTCGAGAAGTTTTGTTTCAAATTATTAAATTTGTTAACGAAAAGAAGGACCATGTTCCTCCCATACCAAATCTTGAGGGTGTCATTTCATTCCCCTTTGAAATTACTATACCCAGGTCAGTTATCTTTGCTCTGGCTACCCAGATTCTAACTATGGCTTTCAATATTGCTATAATATTTCTCATTAGTTTTCTTTACTAGAATTTTATGATGCTTCAGGATACTTCTTTGTGATGAGGTTATTTCGATCCAAATTTGGATGGGTTTTTTCTAGGACCACTTTTAGAGACCTAGGAAGATACATGAAAGGGAAGGAAGGAAGGAAAAAAAAAAAAACTTCTCGATGGGCAGAAGTTTGATTTGCTATTTTGAAGAAAGAAGTAGAGAGCAGAGTAGCTATAGGACTGCTATAGTCAAAGTCTATGAATTGGGGGCTGTGAAAGTCATTTTTGGGTCTATAAATATTCCCTTTTGGCTGAGCAAGGGAGGAGAGAAGAATTTGAATCAGGGTTAGGCATTGGAGTGGACGGAGCCAATCCTCTTGAAAGATTGGCAACCCAGTGTGTTCTTGTCTAGTGTTTCAGTGATTTGTGGGTGGGTTGTATTTTTTTCTCTTTTGTTTTGTGTGATGTTCTTCTACCAGTGTTGTGTAGTTGTTTCTAAAGTAATGTATTTTTAGCTTAATTTTCCGGCACTTGTGTGTAAGTCCGTTCTTTATATATCTGAAAGTGTTTTATTCTGGGAGTATTTGTGAAGGGCCACGACATTTTTTTAATTCTGTTGTGGATTGATGAGCGGTGTCTTATGAAGTTTCTTAGAAGAGAGGGAGAGACCTTGTTGAGAACGCTAATTGCGTGTCACTAAAGCTTTCCTGGGAAATGATTTTGTGCACAATCAAGTTTTAAGAAACCAAAGCAGTTTATAGTTTAAAGAGCACATATTGAAACAGTTACGCTTGCAATGTTTTCCTTGATTTTTTGACTAGTTCTGCTATAAGTAGTCTCTTGCTGCTATTTGTTACACTGAAGTTGCTGGCGTATCAGGATGTGAGATGTCTGTTTGGGCTGATGCAAGGTGGCAATTGGCGGTCATTTCTTTTCTCAACACTAGTGGGGATTATGAGAATTGCAAGGGCAATTCTGCTTGAGTTTATATAACTATTGCATTACTTTTCGTCATATCAAGAAGCTAGGTGTTGATGGGTCTTTCTAGATTAACTCTTCATAATATCTAGCCCGTTGGGTGACCCTTGTGAGTCTGTAGCTGATATGTCCATGATGGTCTGGCAATTTCTTTGTTTGAATTTAGAGTCCTTTTTGTCTTTAGTGGACTGCTCTTTTTCACTTCCAGCTGATTTTCATCATCTTGGTACTATGTTGGTAACCGTCAAAATCCCAGATTTCCACTGCTCTCTAGTGGTCTTGCTCTTGTTTCTTTTCATGAGTTGCAGTTCTTTCTGCTCCTCTTAATTGATGTGGAGCTCATAAATTAGACTGCTGAGTTAATATTAAGGTGCCATTGACCAGTTCATCAGATTCTGCTTTCGGGATGGACATGATAAAGAGGATGCTCCAGTCTGGGCATCCAACCATGCTAAGTTGATTGTCAGTTCTGACAGGGCGCATGTGGTTCCGTGGATTCTTATTGTGCATAATCATGTGCTGGATATAGAGAGCTGAATAAAGCTAAATGAAGCAAGGTTTAGTTTACTTGCCCTTGTAAATATTTGCTTTTGAGTAGCCTTTCTTTTTCTCCTTCTTTTCTATTTCTCTCTTGGAAGTATGTTTGTTCTGCGTTTACTATTTATGGTCTTGTATATATTTTCAAATGTTCGTGACTTGGCGAGTCTTCTTGCATATCAGCCGCCTTATTTATCATGCTTGTGAAAATTGCTTGATCTCCGCTTTGGTCAGGGAATTTGAAGAAGTGGCTCCGGCCTCATTAGATTTATAGTTATTAATTAAAGGAAAAATCATATCAGAGGTGCCTATATTTTTTTTTTTCAATTTTTAATTTGGTACTTATATGTTTTTTCTCTTAATTAAATCATTTAATTTTACTTTTTTAGCAACGTTAGTTCTTGTAACTTTGTTTTATTAGCATTTTTAGTCTCTATACAAGGGTTGACAATGTTAATAGAGCAAAATTAAAGATTTAAATAAGAAAAAAAAATGCATAAGTGTCAAATTGAAAATTAAAAAAAAAAGGTATAAGTGCTTCCAAAATAGTTTCTCCTTAATTGAGAAAAAGGGTGATTTAAGCTGGGATGTTCATCCAGTTAGGGAGCCTGATTGTCCTGTTGTTGTCTGGCCAAGTCGGGCCGTGCCGAACACGGGTAGTTTTTTGGTTTTTTAAAAAGCTTAATATGCTTGATCAGGCCAGCATATGGGCTGGGCTGGGATGGCTCCTATCCAGTCTCAAATGGAAATTAAAAATACAAAAAACACCGCGGGCGGGCACATTTTTGTGCGTGTGTCTGTGTGTATGTGTCTGGAATAAATTTAATCATGCTTGCTTCTTTCAAATTTATCAAGATCCGTGCAGACTCGGGCGCTTCAATAAGCATAAAAAATAAAATATAAAAATTGAAATTAAAAAGCTTCTCAATGTTTTTATCTTTACAAAATTGGGAAAAAAAAAGATGATAGATGTTATTAAACTAAAATACGTGAATATAAACTCAACAACCAAACCCCACTTATTCCATATATAAGTAGTCATTCAAAATAAGATTAAATAATTGATAAAAAGAACTTCTCAATGTTTTTGCTTTTAAATATGACATTAAAATAAAAGAAATGTTATTAAACCAGGTTGAAGTTGCATTCAGCATCTTGATCCTATTTTTTGGAACATTAGTTATGTCAAATTATTTTTTAATTACATTGAACGCTCTAATTTTTAAAATACTAAATACACCCAAAAATAAAATCATAATACTGAATTCACAGTAAAAAAAAGTCAGGATGCAAAATGTACCTACTAAAATTAAGGTGTTAGATATATTTTTATTTTTGAGGTGACAATAATAATAACAATAACAACAACAATATTTCGCTTAACTACGAAACATGCCTTGAAGTGAATTGGGTGGAGTCGTGGCTTTGTGAACATTCCGAATTCAAATTTGTGGGTGAGGGGTAGACAGTCATCATAATCAGAGAGTAATGAGCATTCGTGTTGGCAACAACTCTCGAAGCCGAGTCCCTCAATCAATTACGTTATTAACTTTAATGGTAACTCCAGCTAACTTCAGCAACATCGGGTTTCTGTCGGTTTCTCTACATATGAAGCTATTGATATCGTGTGCATGTTGAAATACAGACTCGTTTTATTCACCCGGCTTTTCCATTTCCACATATAAATTTGTCCAAAACGGGTAATCCATATCACCAACGCAAGCGCCAACAAACACCTTTCCTCATATGAGGAAGATGAGTCCCACAAGCACCTTATTGTTCTAACTTGCTTACAGACTCTACCTATCTTTTTGAGTACGGATTTCCATTCGCTTTGTATAACGTCAGGCAAGGACATACAACTAGATTTGCGAATATTTCCCACTGTCACACTTACAAAATAATTAATTGTGAATCATGTGGTCTTGCCTAATTTGTTTTCTGTAGCTGTAGATAGGGGTAGAAATAGGCTAGAGGGCCTGTCAGAAGCCTGTGGTCTGGCCTGACCTAGTCTATTTAAATATAAGAACAGGCTCAGACTTGTAAAAACGCCTGTTTACCTTATTAGATCAGATTTAGGCTTGATAATAAGCCTATTAGGCTTGTCAGATGGTTTGGGGCTGTTATTTTTTTTTGAGGTTAAATATATAAACTGACAGGGGCTCAAAAAATAAAATACTTAGCTTTATTTTTCGCACCGAATCACTAGTTTCTCTTTATAAACACACCAGATTTGAAGCTCTTGAGAATTTGGATACTTGGAACTTACCTTAAATTTAATGAACACCGTAAGAACTTGCCTTAAATCAAAAGTACAAATTTTGAATTCTAAAAATAATACCATTTCTTATGTTTATTAGTTATTAAATTTTGTTATGATCTAATACATATTTGATTTTTTCTTCTTAGGTGTTTTGAAAAGAAGAAAAAATTGTGTTGAAGATTTAATGCTTTGTGGTTTGATGATTTATTGTAATTGTAGTAACTAGCAAGAACAAATTGTGTTAATTTGATAATTTGATAATTTTGTTTATATTTAGATAATTTGGGTGAGTTATTATAATTTTGAATTGGTTTATGTGTGTTTAAAATTTATTAAAAAAAATAAGTTTCTTAACAGGCCACAGGTCAGGCCAGACTTAATTACAGGTTAGGCTCAGGCTAAACAAAAAGCTTTTCATAAGCCGTCAGCCAAACTCAAGCTAACAAGCTTCACTACAGGCCTAGCCTGTTTTCAACCCTACTTGTAAAGAGAACCATGAGTTGATGCCTCTATAATATGAGTCCAAGGGATTGCTCGGTAGAGATATATTCCCGCCTCCCGGCCCCATCTCTTCATAAATACCCAGTTACTCAAAGGTCTCTCAAATCCCCTGATGGGGTAGTCACTAATTCGCATGATTGATTCTCTCTCTCTCTACACACACACACACACACACACACACTTACTTGCCAAGTTAGTTACTGGCTTTCATGAAGTGGGGAATCTCTCAAATCCGATCTAAAATGACTACAGAAAATAAGAACAAAGGCATTATGTCCTGGTGCATGGAGCTTGCCATGGAGCTTGGTGCTGGTTTAAGCTCAAGCCACAGCTTCAGTCTGCGGGCAACAAGGTCACGGTACTGGACCTTGCAGCCTCAGGCATCAACCCTAAGAGAATGGAACATGTTCATAGTTTTGCTGAGTATTGTGAGCCTCTCTTAGAGCTGTTAGAATCACTGCCTCCAAGTGAAAAGGTGGTTCTTGTCGGACACAGCTTTGGAGGGTTGAGTTTAGCCCTTGCCATGGACAAGTTCCCTCATAAGATAGAACTTGCCATTTTCTTAGCAGCTTTTGTTCCTGATACCCAACACCCGCCTTCATATGTCTTGGACCAGGTATGGTTCGCCATAGTGATGAGCCTACAATTCCTTTTTTTTTTTGTTTGTTAGGTACAAGTATCTCTTTATTAAAGGCAATTCTGTTTAACTTTTATAGGAGATTTGAATCTTAATTCATCACAACATAAGAAACTAGCTCATTCTGTTAAATCCAACTTGTACTAATAATTCGTTTTTGTTATTGATATGATGATGCAGCTAGTTAATGCCAAATCGAACTCCTAAATTTGTAGTTTTTATACATAATCCCCTTAAACTTTCAATTATGCATAAATAACTTCTTCAAGTTTTATGACATAACATTAAACCTGAATATATACATGCATATACGAGATAAATGAATAATCAAAGATATTTATGTAACCCAAAGATTTAAAGGTTACATATGACTCCACCAGTCATATGATTTTTTGATAATTCATTTAATACAATCTATGCGAACTGGTTGAAGTCGGTTATTTTAACATATAAAAGTGAAAGATTTAAAAAAATTAGACATGCGAAACTATACGGACTATTTAGTTACAAAATGTTAATTCATAAAATTACATCGAAAGCCAAGTCAAACTTGGATCATCAAAGTGTAACATATGTAATTGCAATTTTTAACTTAAAGTAAGTTAATGATTATATAGGGTACCCTTAATGATTATATAGAGTATATATTATACTAACAGACCCTTTTATATGAAATAAACTTGAAACATGACTAGTACGTAGAAAGAAACCATCCTAATGGGAGTGGATGGTTAGACACTGAGTTATCGCCCCGCGGAAGCATCACATTCGGACCCAATTTCTTATGCGAGAAGCTCTATCAACTGGGCTCCTCTGAGGTACGTACGTATGGCTTCCTGCTTTCAAGCCAATTCAACATATGGAATTGACCTTTTATTGGCTTTGCAGGATCTTGAAATGGCCAAGACTTTGGTAAGGCCAGGTTCGCTTTTTCTTGAAGAACTGAGGGAGGCCAAGAACTTCAGCAAAGAGGGATATGGGTCGGTTCCAGTAGGTTATATTGTGTGCGATGAGGACTTGGCGATTCCAATGGAGTTTCAGAAATGGATGATCCAAAATGCTTGTGTTCATGAGGTCACTGAAATCAAGGAAGCTGATCATATGGCCATGCTTTCCAAGCCACATCAACTTTGCTTGGCTCTCCTCCACATTGCCAATAACTTTACCTGATGATTAATGAACATTATGGCTTCCTCTAGCTTACCCATATGTATTGATTATGTTAAGTAGTATTCCAATCCAAATGTCGTGCTGCATCAATAGCTCCTAGCAGAAGTGATGCAATCATATATCTGTGTCCTCATGATCGATGCTATAATTCCTAAATAAAGAGGACAATATCATGATTTGTATTTTTCAAACTCTAGTCTCTTGACGAACAACTCATTAGCATTTCATTAGGCACTCTTAATGGTGTGTATTGAGGGATGCAAACTCGTTGGATTAATTTAATGGTGTACTATTGTGTTGTTAAGAGATGGGCGGATTTGGGCAAATTTCTGTTTAATTAGACTTTTAGAGGCAACATGTACAACTCATCATTCAACTCAAGAAATGAATTGGTTACCGCAGAGTTGAAATTAAGACTCAAACAAATTTATTTTGGTTAAACTGGAATAAAAAATAACACTTGTTATTAGATTAAATAATAATAATGGTAATAAATATTATATTTTTGTTAGTTATTGTAATAAATATACAGAAAAAATAAACAAAAATTTGTCCTAAAAAATTAAGATTTGGAAACGTATGCTTTATACACACGAAATTTTAAATAATTTGGATTATGAGAACTCATGAAGGCAAGCTAGTATTCACAGATTAAAGAGTATTAATAAAATTGTTTCTAGATAATCTACCGAAGAAATTGTGGTCTTAGCACCTGAATTCAACCCACTCTTTATAGTGCTGGGAATTATCTTATTGGTAAAAAAAAAAAAAAACTCCGTGCCTATTATAAGTGACTTATAAGTTGTAACTTATTCTCATGCATCAAAGAATAATAATTAAATTATTGAATATATCTTAAATTGATAAAAGTTTTTAAATTTGTTTCTATTAAAATTTTTTTCTTCCTACATTTACAAATCATTATCAATTATCAATTCTTTCTCTTCTTTGTCTCTTTCCAAGAGAAATTAAATTGAGGTAAAATTAAAAAATATCATTAATGAGATTTTTTTTCTTGGGCAAGTAGTCAAACAAAACCGATCACTAATTAACTCACAATCAATACCTGTTTGGCAGGGCATTTGTAGAGCTTAAAAGGAACTTATTGGCGTCATAAGCTCGATCTGTAATTTGTTCCTGTTTGGATAAGCTTTTAGTTTATTTAGCTTATAAGTCAAAAGCTGGTGAAAAGCATAAGCTGGGAAGAGAAGCTTATAACTTATGGAATCGTGCGTTTGCTTTAGTAAAAGGTCCTGGAAACATTTATTGCAAATTTATACCAAATCTGTCTTCTGGCTCTTCTCCCTCATACGTTGATTTTGTGCATTTTCAAATTTTTTAATATAACACAATTTTCTAAAAAGTTATCATATGATAAATAACCTTTTTTATTAACGGTTTTTTTTAATATTTTACCATATGTAAATGTAATATACACACACATATGTGAACATATGTATTACCCCCTCCTATTCATATTATAAATTAATTTAAATTTATTGTATTATGTAAAATTATTTTTTAATCATGTTTTATTATTTATTAAAACTCATACTCATTTTAGTCATCTTACAACCAAACTTACTTTTACCTAACCATAATCCAAACAACCTTTTATCAATCTCACTTTTACAAACTAACTTTTCTAAATTATAATCTAAACACAATTCAACTTATCCAATTCAGCTTTTACCCAACTTCACTTTTCCATAAGCCAAACTCACAATAAGCTACTTTTCCAATCACTATTCCAAACGGACCCTCAATTGGTGTGGTTGGGGCATTATTTTAAAGCATAATCTTAATGGCAGTGCCACATTATAATAATCATTTAAGGACTACCAAAACACATTTTGTCATAAAGCCAACTTAATGCTTGTGACCACATTGACCCAAAACATTGAATGCCTGTTTTAAATAACATTTACTTGTAGCATTAAGCTTCAATAGAGATAAGCGCCATCTATATAATAATCCCCAAACATTTGTAACTTCTGAAGTAAGGAGTGAAAACAATGGAAGGAAAGCATTATGTTTTGGTGCACGGAGTTTGCCATGGAGCTTGGTGCTGGTACAAGCTCAAGCCTCGGCTTCAGTCTTCCGGCAACAAGGTCACAGTACTGGATCTTGCAGCCTCAGGCATCAACCCCAAGAGAATCGAAGATATTCGTAGTTTTTCTGAGTATTCTGGGCCCCTCTTGGAGTTGCTAGAATCTCTTCCTCCAAGTGAAAAGGTTGTTCTTGTTGGACACAGCTTTGGAGGGTTGAGTTTAGCTCTTGCCATGGACAGGTTCCCTCATAAGATAGAACTTGCTGTCTTCTTAACAGCTTTTGTTCCTGATACGAAACACCCACCCTCTTATGTCATAGAACAACAGGTATACATGCTTTTGGTTTCTGAACCACACCTATTTCTCGTTTATCAAATAAATGCAAATCTTATTTGTAAAATATGAGCTTGGCGTGCGTGTGCGTTAAAAGTTCTTAACTTTTAAATTTATATACATTACAAGCCTAAGGATAGAGCAGAACTGAATGAAGTGTACAACATGGAGATTTCATCATCTGGATCTGCATCAATGATTTTTGGGTCCAAGTGTTTGTCCACCAAACTTTATCAACTCTGTCCCATTGAGGTACTGATCATGGCTATACCTACCGTGTTCAATTGCCTTGAATGCATAGATTTTTAGTTCTATACTATAATTTTTAAACGAAGAAACCAAGAGGTTTTAGATTGGAAGAGGGATGCTAACTGGGTTGTCGATGCAGGATCTTGAGTTAGCCAAGATGTTGATAAGGCCAGGATATCTATTCGTTGAAGAATTACAGAAGGCAAAGAATTTCTCAGAAGAAGGGTACGGTTCGGTTCCAAAGGCTTATATTGTCTGTGGGGAGGACGCAATAATTCCATTGGAATATCAAAGTTGGATGATTGAAAATGCTGGAATTGACCATGTCCTGGAAATCAAGGACTCGGATCATATGGCTATGCTTTCTAGACCTCAAGAAGTTTGCCAGTCTCTCATCCAGATAGCTCAGAAAAACATATGATGTTATATCAGAGTTGTTTAAATGCCTTGAATAATAGTTTCTTTCGGTGGTCTTTATCGTTTAAAGAATAAATTTACATATGAACCCTGTCATGTACCTATGTCTTATGCGACTGATTGTTAGTGCGTTGAATTTCCTCCTTGCCGTCGGTGACCTTCATTGGCTAAAGGACAATTTTACATGATGAAGAGAGATAAGCTGCAGGAATAGCTCTGTTTTTAAAGAACTGAAATGTTCCCATCTCTTACGTGAGCTCAACATCAAACCATGGATTTGGTATTTCATAGAACTATTATTAAACAGTTTAGAATTTATAGTAAAAGAAGTAAGAAAAAATTTGTGAAATATTAAATATCAAGTATCCAAGTTTCATCTAATAGTAAAAATATAAAGATACAGGAGTGGAGAAGTAAACCTTTCCCCTGACAAATTCTGCCAACAAACTATGTTATAACTCTCCGTCAAATTTTTCTTTTAGCTTTCATTTACTTTGTTTGGTGTTTTGTCGTTGATAGTTTTGTTGGCTTCGGTACTGCCTTCTTTTGTTGGGTTGTAATTTCTTGGTGCTTGTATTGAATGATACGAATACAATTTTTCCTCCCAAAAAAAAAAAAAAACCTCTCCGTCAAATTTTATTACCCAAAACCATGACCTAGATCAATCAACACGTTAGACATTAATAGATTTTGCAGGACATATAATAATTGGCATCCAATATTAACCACGATTTCGTTTCTACCTCTGAAGATTCATCAGGGGAAAAAAAGAGAGTCTAAGAAGCAAGAACAAATCAGAAGGACGGATCAATATTTTACGAGGAACGTCCATTTTGCTTTGGCGGCAGAGAAGCTACCACCAGCCTTGTAATCTCAGGTGACTTCTGTCAGATTCGAGGAGTTCTAGATTTTGGCCGGTTTGATTTCCGCAAGAATATAAAAGAAACAGAGGTTAAATTGCTGCATTCTTACAAGCTGATAAGCCCAATATTTACTTAATTATATGACTATTTTCTTGCCCAATTCCTAGTAATTATAGCCTAATTTGCCTTGGAATTAGCATACTTTCACAAGATGAATGTATTATGACTTTACCAAGCACGAGAGGTGAAAGGGAAAATCCCGGCCCAGGTATAAGATCTGTACGACTCTAGCCCCCACACAAGCCCAAAAAACTTTTTAAAAAATGGAGCCCAACAGCACATCCAAGGGCGGATTATAGGGATATATCTATGAGGATCACTTCCGGGCTCCGGCCACGGATAAGAAGCTCTTGGAGAAGCCGTGCTTCCTGTCGGAGGCCGTTGGCCGACCCGCAAAACGCGAAGACCATCCTCCCACCAATGTGATGGGAAGAAATTACCGACACTTAGTACAACAGTTAGTTGATTAATGTAAATAGATTAAAAAAACTAGTTAAGTTAATTATTTACAATAAATAGATATGATCTTTTCTAAAATATCCTAGCTAATTAAGTATATTGGTTAGAAGCCTAGAACTACTATTATTATAAAAACTAATTTTAAAAAAAATAAATAAATATAAGAGATAAAATATACTCCTCCGGTCCTAATTATAAGACCCAATTGACTTATTTGAGGAGATTAAGGAAGTAAGTTAAGTTGGTTATTTATAATAAATAAGTGTTGTCATTCCTAAAATATCCTTGCTAATTAAGTATATTGGCTAAAACTATCATTATTAGAAGGATTATCTTGGAAAAAAATGCATAAATATAAGAGACAAAATGGATTGGGGTCTTATAATTAGGACCAAATAAAAAGTCAAATGAGGTCTTATAATAAGAACCGGATGAGTATTAAAATTTTATATTTAAGATTAAAATAAAAGTCAAACAAACTCTTTAGCACAAGGGCAAATGTAGTATTACGTTGCTTCTCTCTATTTGCAATTTTAGTTTTATCCATCTCCATTATTGTCATATGTTTGATATAGCACACGTAGCCTTCCTGCGAGTTCGACCCCTAAAACCCTTTGGGCTCTTTTATTACACTATGAACGACTCTGTGCACTTACGGATCGATCTGGTGAAGTAATGCAGAGGACTAAAATGCTGATCTCCATCAAAGCATGCAAGGTTATACTATACACTAGGTAATATTAATCAATTGTTACTATTAGCTGAATTCCCTGAAAATAAAGTCAGAAGCTAAAAGGGATACTCGCTGATTTAGATCTTGCCCCTGATCCTGTTGCAGAAACTGAGGAAGAAGGGGAAAGCAGAAATGATGATTGCTGATGTACTATGAAGTCAGGATTTAAACATACCAACAACAACAGTAATAATCAAATCCATCCTCCAGGCGACCCCCTCGTATTTTTCATATTTCCAAATTGTATGGCAGTCAAGCCTATTAACTTCTATGGATTCGAGTTCCGGTAGCAAATTGCAAACGAAAATATGCTTGCCGACACCTGTGTTGCCCCGACTAAATATATAGAGGATGTGTTGTGATGTTATAATGGTTGCCTTAAACCTGTGACAACATCTAAAAGGGACTAACCAATAGCATCTCATGAATAATCAGGAACAGTAGAGAAGGTAAATTATACTGGGCTATTAAACTCCTTATGGATGGCCACGTGTATTCCCATCTAGTTTCTTTACCGATGACCAGGGCCCAGAATTGTGGTGATCATCTTGTGTCAAACTTGCGAATGCGCAAAATTGCTTATCAAAGATTTGCAGCTTGTGTTTTGTAGGACAGGCAAATATTAGCCGAAGACCAGAAAATGTGGTTGAGTCATGTGTGATTAGTGAAGCCCGCGATAAAGACATTAGCAATGCACTAAAGGACATAATTTGTTTTCTGAGTCAACTTTATGTGCAAAACAATATGTGGTTCACTGGAACTTAAACCAGGACACTCAGCAAAACTGTACTCGTTAAAATACCTATGGAAAATGAAGTTGAAGAGGTTGATCCTCCAGAAGTTGTAACGCACCATGGAGCAGTACTACCAAACTAAGAAGGAGCGGAACCAAACAAGGAACTTGACGAAGAATTTGAAAGTGAGGTTTGGGGCGTAGCATTTGACGATTCAGACAAAGGAGATCCTGGAGCATAAGTTGTTGGGGTCATAGACAAAGATGGCACAGATGAAGATGGACCTAAAGAAGGCGTGCTAAAAACTCAGAGCCCACTTCCTGAACAATTTGAAAGTGAGGTTTGGGGTGTAGCACTTGACGATCCAGAAAAAAGGAGATAGTGGAGCAGAAGTTGCTGGGGTCATGGACAAAGATGGAATTGAAGAAGGCATGCTGAAAACTGAGAGCCCCCTTCCTGAAGAATTTGAAGTTACTGGAGATGTTTGTGGGGCAGTTGATGCCCCTACTGTTCCATAAATTGATAATAACCCGGCAATTTTTGTTGATGGTTGTGAATCTTCAGGTAAATGCAATGTTAGACGAACTCTTTTTGAGGAAACTTCTTTTCTTGCTGTTTCACACTGGTCAGCCGCTTGAGATGGATCACTCTCCTCTTGCCAGTGGCGACGCTTAACTAGGTATATTGATTTCATGTAATTCATGTACGGATGAATGCTGCTCTCCACCTAGGTAAGCATTTTCCAAACTGTTATCACTGTAAAAGGAGAAAAGAGAAAGCACGCATTCCCTTTATGAGCAGATATTAACTTATTTTGTGCAAAGGATGAACATCAGAAGTATCATCTCTAATGCACCAAGTTTTGTGCCTGGTTCATCAAAACAAGTGTGATATAGTACATGACTAATATGGCAAGTACTCCCAGTTCATATTAGCAGTACGCAAATTACGTACTTCAATCTGTGACTATTTAAATTATTAATATAAGTTAAAATATAAAGGAGAAATGTTCAGAAGTATGGATATGAACAAGTAACAGATTCTCTTAAACAAACTGAGCTCATAGTTTGCAACCCCAGCAAACATGATGAGTACAAAAGGATAAAAGAAAACCAAAAATAGAGGGGTGGAATAAATACAATTTACAGAGCTAAGAGTATTGAGAGTAGCAGCATGAAAAATGTCCATATACTTTGAACATTTCTTAAGAAAAGATATATTATATAGACATATATATAACTTCGTAATGACGCAATATGCTCAAAGCTTTACCGGGAACGTCAACTGAAACTGCAAAATGCTCATATGTGCCTTCGCAGCCACATGAATAAAAATGTCATGCACATTTGCCATGGCTTTAGGAATAGACTGCAATGAGAAGGATCCATTATTGGAAGTGTTTTTCTCGGAAGTTGTCAAGAAGCAGCTCCAACTCTTCAAGCCGATGGTAGCATTCACCAAAATATTTCTCAAATCTTGAAAATGTTTGACATAAGAAGGATGATGGTTTGTTCGGAAGCCCATGGTAAAAATCAGGCACAGGCATTAATGTAGCTGGTGGTCGACTACTCAATGTAGGCGTAATAGTCACTACAGCAGTCTGTGACGGAGCAGTGGTGCTCAAGGCATTCACCTTATTGGGATGAAGGAACCTTGAAGAACGAACCGTCATCTCTGTGTTGCGTAATATATTTTTTACAGCAGACGTCAGTTCCTGCTGCAAGTTTCTTGGTCATTCCATGGCAGCACTGATGCTACCGAGTACCTATCAAACAGAAGAAGATAGCTATTGTACAATCTATACATAACTATTGAAGTTCACCAGATGAAGAACAAAATCACAAGAGACAGAGGAACTAATCCAGTCAAAATTAATTATTAACTTTTCTTATTTTTTCTAATAAACATACAAACAAATAGCATAGCAAGTCACGAAAATAGAACAGAAATGAAGAAATGAAAGAAAAAGTTGTCACATCAAGAGGAGAAATAAAACATAAATGGACTACGAACTTCCTTTTACAGATTAACAGAGATCTGTCTCACCACATAAAATCAAGTCTTCTATTTTTTTGTGATAAAAATTAAGTCTTTTATTGTCAACTAAATTTTCAACTACAATTCTTTCAAGTTTCAAATAAGCAAAAACAACCACACGGAAAATTGAAATTATATTTTGACTTCAGCTAAAAATGGCCATATTTTCAGTTGACCAGCAATAACGAAAACAGCCAACATAAGGTGCTGTCGGGTTAATTAATCCCAAGCGATGATGTGACCCTTGGTTCGTTACATGCTAAACCCCCGTCACATCTAAAGATCATATAAACTGTCAGCAGAACTCTTTAGCATCTCATAGATTAAAACAAATTCAAATGCAAATAAATTAGCATTGAGGCTCCAGATAGACATGTTTTAGCCGAGAAGATACTTCCGAATTTTGATGTCCCATTGTATAGGCAGAGGTTACCTATTATAAAACCCTCCACAACTTTAATAACCGACAGAATCATAACCAACTTAAAGCATAAAAAGCATTTGTCTATGTTATAACAATAATGAAACAGATAATTGACCACCATGGGGACGAATACATCATGTGGTTTTAGAAAGACTATCAAAGAAACATGAGGGCAAATGGAGAACCTGAACAATATGGCTGGCATCAGACTTAAAGTCATCATTTGGAACTAAATATTTATAGAGACGACTGCTTTGATCTAATCTCTGGCTCTCATCCCTATACTCTAATGTCTAACAGAGAACAATTAAAAATACAAAGAACAAACACGAATTTTATAAAATATGCCACATGGCAGTTGAGGCAGGCACAACAAGTGGCCCTATATATCGACATGCAACCTTCTTGTGCAGTTTGTAAGGTTGGTCGCCAACTTTTAATATATTTTTGTCACTAGTCTGTGTGAAAGCCTACAAGGTGTATTAGAGTCTAACAATAATAATCAATACAATAAACCGACACCAAATACCGGTTTCAAACTGAATGCATGTTTTAAGTTTCAAATGACTTCCATTCTAGTACCAATTACAAGCAGCTATGAAGATACGATTTGATAGTGCAGACGGACAAGAAATTATGAAAAGATCGTATAACCGAAAATTCTTCAACAAAAAGACAAGGGCAAAAAAAATCAGTTAATCATTCATCAGAAGTCATGTTGTGTGATTTCTGAACAACAAGATAGGAGACGGGCACAAACCATGAATTGTTCCTCTCTTTTTTATCCACATTTTTGCAGAAACTTGCGATACAGAAATTAAAAGAAAGAAGCACAAAGAAGCGTACTCAATCTGAAGAAGAATCTGCTGAGAATGAGGATGGAGATCCTCCCACTTGGTATCGTAAGTAGCGGGAGTTGCATCCTTTGTGAACAGAAGAAGCTGCTGTTGCTGCTGCTGTTGTCGTAGTAGAAACAATGGCTGCAGCTGTGGGGTCGAAAAGACCGAAAATAACATTTTTTTTATTTTCTATCAGAAATTCTTCTGGTGACAAACTATGATCCTTCTTTAGGACTTGACAAGAGAATCCAAAAGAACCCCTCTTTAAACACTAAAGAGCAAAAATCGGGGCCAAAACACCCGCCTTTATCCTCCCAAGTTAAGTGCTTGAAATGAGAACGTTATGATGAGCGGATGCTCTCGATAACTCTTTGGTTTTGCGTTGAGGACCACTTTGGAATGAAAATAAATAAAAAAATTATTTCAAAAACATAAATTATTTTTTAGATGTTTAATTATTCTAAAAAATAAACCGTTAAAATGATTAAATGGTAACGAATATGTTTATATATATATATATAAATCATTCACCTGATTGAAAATCGTAGCCATATTAGTTAAGGCCGTACATATGATTATATGAATATGATGGGATTGACAATTGCCCCTTCTAGAAATGAATCATAATTCAACGTCGACAGAATGAAACCAGAATTATTTTTTTAAAATGAGTTATTATGGAGCCAACTAATTAATCCTTTTAAATCAGAGCTCGCGTTTTTTGTATAAGTGCCTGTCATGGGCATTCTTGTGAGAATCACTTGATATACATATTTTTTGTTATACCACTTCCGGTTCTTAATATAAAATTTTATTTGACTTTTATTTTGGTTCTGAATATAAAATCTCAATTAACTTTATTTCTTATATTTATGCATTTTTTAAAGTAGTTCTTCTAATAATGATAATTTTAGCCAATACACATTTGATTAAAAAAAATATTTTAGAAAAAATAATACTTATTTATTACAAATAATTAATTTAATTTTTTTAAATTAGTCAATTAATTTTTATAATTAGGATTGGTAGTATTTAAAATTTAATTGATTGATGTTCAAAAAAAATGGGTGGATGTTGGTAGAAAAAGAGCCCAACTGCGTAGAATAAGTACAATTCAGTCCTAGCACTTCACTCTTGAAAGAGCGGGGCCCATCTTTGTAGAATGGATAGTCAATTTGTTTTTTTTCCTGAATTATCCACGCGGTGTTTATCATAAAAGTGGTTCACATGATTGCTAATTTCTTCAAGGCATATACCAAACCTGCATTATTACACAGAAACCGAAATGTATGGTACGAGTATATATATTACATTATAATTATTAGTCGACAATTATTATATAAAGGAGTATCTGATTTTATCATTAAGTTTTACCTATATATATTATTTTACATTTAATAGTAGCTTTATATAATTTTCTTCTATAGCATTTCATTTTTTTCGTTTTAGGCTAGAACAATAATGGTGCTGCAGGCTTAAAACCAAGTTTTAGATATAAATAAATATACTTTTGTATTAAAAGTGAGAGCTATAAATACAAAAAAGTTTAATTTATAAAAAATAGAATGCCATTCATTGTATCCTTAAAATTTATACTCAACCCGAATTTTATGGAAGTTCGATATATTTTGATCCAAGTAATCTCAGTAAAAGTAAGGTTTACGCATTTCTCTATAAAATTTAGCAAGATTTTTTTGTTTTTGCCAGAACATGATTAGTTTTTTAAAAAACATTTGGATGGAATCAAAATCTTAAAAGTAATTTTATAATATACAAAATAAATATACAAAGAAGTTTATCTCAATTAAATTTTTTTTAAGAGTACTTTTTATGGTACCAAATACCTCCAAAGCCGCTCAAGAGAAGTTAATTATATGATTATCGGGTATATTTTCAAAGAAGAATTATAATGAGATCCAAAGTAAGAAAAACGATTAAAAAACAAATCTCAAAAATTATCATTCTCATTCCAAAACTTATTATTATGGACTGTTAAGATTGTTATTAAAAATTTTTAATAATTATTTCTCTTATAAGGGATTTGACTGTAATTCTCTCCATTTTCAATAGAAGGACAGGAGAGAGAAGAGATAGCAAACGGTTGGGACCCATCCTCCTACTACATCCCCCATTCTAATCCAATTTGAACACCTCTTGAACCAAATTCAACTACGAAAACCTGCTCAAGTCTTTCTTCTTTCTCTTTGGTCCAAGAAAAACTGCTTAAATCTGACTAAAACGAAACAAGATTACATCGCTAAAAATGAGAATTCGAACGTTGGCGCAAATTCAATCAAAAGTTTCATTTTTTCAAAAAAATAGTAGTATATAATTAATGTGTCAAAACTCAAAAAGGCAAGTTTGTTTTTGCCACTTCTCTCCCAACCTGTCATCCCCTTCGCATTTGCTAACCAGTGAAGCCAAAGTGAAAGGTTACTCGTAATGCCGAAACACACGTGCTCAAATAGAGAACAATAATGGCGCATGCGTATTAACAAAAGAACAGACAGAAGACGACGACGACGACGAGGAGAATATCTTCCAGAACATGAAATTCACTTGGATTGGCCTTAATGGATAACTCCCCAGAGGGATATCTATTAGAAACATCATGAATACAACTAATTTCCAGGTTTGTGTAGCGCAGATTATGGCAATTTGATGAGTTTGAAAGGCAATCAGTTAATGCCAATACCAACCACCCGCTCCCTGTACAGTAAATTACCTAACTGTCCAACAAAACTGAACGGTTGCTAATAATTCTAAAACAAACTTGCTATAACTTCGAAAACAACAAAAGTGTATCCGCAAGTAACAAAAGAACAAAACAAATGAAGACGAAGGGCATATCCTCCAAGGAAAACGTGATTCACTGGGAACATGTATGCCTCATTATGATACGAACACAGACATCATCACTGGCATGTGGATTGATGAGAAAGAGAGTAATAAACAACTCGACCACGACAATTTTTCGATTTTTTTAATAACCAGGCGACAACACTCACCAGCTTCCTAACCCCACTATTGATCAACAATAATACTTTATTTATCTCTAATTTCTTGTCCAATATGCGAACTCCACAACAAATGCACATTCCTGGAGTCAGTAATTGCTAGTTTTTTTTTTAAATCCCTGTTTTTAACTACCACTGCAAGGCAATGGCTGAATCAGAATTTGAGGTTGGTTAGGCAGACGATTTTGAAGTTTGAAATTATATCAGATACAGATATTGCAGAAATTTCACACAGCTTAACACTGGACAAGTAGACACCAGTAGCGTACACAGAACGAGATAGTTGATGGAACAAAGGAAACAAGAAAAAGGTCTTAGTGTTTTTTCTAATGTCTCTAATAAATATACCCCCAAACACGCAGTAAGCTAAACTCTAAACCCAGATTCTAAACCATCAGAGAACCTTCCCTTGCACGAAGGGAGTCAAAATAAAAGTCAAAAAAAGAAAAAAGATGAACAAGTTCATTTCAGACCATTTCCAGGTGTTGAAATTGCAAGTCCTGGCCAAGAGAAGCAGTCTGCACCACCAACAAAACCACCTTCGCCGCCTTCTAGCTGCCATGAATTCCCGACGCCAGAAGCCCCAACTCCACCGTTAATGCTGGCGCCATCCACCACTCCAGGAAAAGCCCAACCCCCTCTTCCATTTCCAAAACCCATATCTTCAAACCCGTGGCCAAGTCCGAGCCCGAACCCGCCTAGAGCCAGAAATCCAGGCCCTTGGGTGGTGTTGTTAAGCAAAGAAGTGAAGCTTCCACACATTCCCATACTAGATTTCAAATCACTCTCAACTCCACCGTTGCCCCCAAACGGCATGGACCCCCCTTGGCCAGCCGACATGGGTACAAAAACAGGGGTTGTAGGAAGCGGGTGGTCCTGAGTAGAAACTGAAGAAGTCGCCGTGACGGAGGAAGAAGCCGTAGAGGCGGTGCGAGAGCGTTTCGCGTTTTTACGACTGCCACCACCGACGGGGATGTCACGGAGGGTGCCACCGTGAGTCCAGTAGCGTCGGCAAGCCTTGCAGAAATGGCGCGGCTGGGAGAAGTTATAGTTGTTGTAGTAGCAGAACTTGGTGTTGGTGGAGTCACAGCGAGGACATGGGAGATGCTCTTGTTCCGGTGGCGGAGCCTGAGACTTGGATGGTCGGGGATTGTCGCCGGAGTTTGACGGCATTGGGACACGAATCAAGCAGGAAAAATATTAGCTTTACGTGGGATAAGCAAAGTTCACTCAATGAGGATGGAGGAGGAAGAAGTTGTCTTTTTGCTTGAGGAAGAAAATGAGGCGAAAGGTTTGGTTGTTGGTGGGAGGAGGGAGAGGGCTTTTATGGGGATTAGGAGAGAGAGAAGATGTGGAGAGAATATCTGTGGTTCAAACAGAGACAAGTTCTGAGGCTTATATGAGACAGAGTGGATCAGCTTTAGTACAGTGTTCTGTTAAGCACGGCATTTCAGTCGGCTCCAGAAGAACCTCTGCTTGGGCCGGCTAAGCAGGCTCAATCCTTAATCCTGATACAAATTCAATAAATTTAATCATTTATATTTTTTATGGGTTTTGTTGCATTTGGATCCTAGAATAAGACGAGGGTGCAGAAAGGTCATATATAGTGTGGGAGGCACTTAGAATTCTAGTGGTGTATGGTAGGTAGTTGTGAGTCAGATGCATGCATTTGGGTGATGACCAATATAAGTGCAAATAATGAAATCTAGTATCCAGTGAAATCCAAATCAATCCATACATATTTTAAATAATAAGATGAGATTGTGTTAGCTCCCACTTAGAGAGACCAGGAATGATAATCAGGGGAGGAGGCCATTCAAATAAGTCAAGCACGTTGCTAATTTTATATGCACAAATGAAGTCTCTGGTCTTGGCTTTATCCAATCCCCACTCACCTACGGGCCTTCTTTTCTATTATTATTATATATGGTCTCAGGCTCAGCATCGAAATCTGATCTTCCTTCCCTAGTCAATACCATAACAGTATGCCTATGCTATGAGGAAGGGTTCTACCATATTGTAAGTAGTCCTTATAGGCCGTAGCTCACATTATTTTCTTCTGACAAGGCAACACATTTCAAGAATTGTGCCCGGGATCCGCCATTCCGATAACTAGTCAATTGGATTCTCGACTTGGTCTCCCTCATTATTTTCTCCCTATCATGTCATGGAGGGAGACTTAATAATATTTAATAAGTCGTTAATCATCATCATTATTATAATCAAACCTTGATTCTAATACTCCTAGGACTGTTTCCTTGAGAGTAAACCATACGGCAAGTACTACAATGGAATGAATGTTTTTTTTTTTCCTTGTGCCTTGGTGCTACTCCTATACTTGGTTTTTGCAGTTTTCTCGTTAAGAAAGTTGCTGTGATCATCCAAATCAATAAATATTTTGCCCAGCTAACAATAAAGGGGATAGACAATTTAACCATGTTTCAAATAAACATATGGACAAAAAGGCATATAATGAAAAAAAAAATTTTGTTTTAGGGAAAAAATCTTGATGAGTTCGGAAGAAATATGTTTCTTGTATATTTTCAAATATCTTTCTTTTTTTTGCCAACACTTTCAAATATCTGTATATCAATATAAAAAAGATAGTTTATGAAACCATTCATTCAGTTAATGAGGAACTTGTTAGATATGTTAAACACGTGATTCCTTTTATTAAATCATCAAATGAAATATATGTTCTGGTCTGAGTAATTTAATAAATGTATTCCCGAATAAAGATTATTTTAAAAGTTTGAAATGAATATTTTAGCATTCGATAAACAACTTATGGCCAGAAAAGAATAAAAACCTTAAACATAATGATATTATTGTGTTGTAAACTTTCCACGGCGAGGAGACAGAGAGAGAGAGCTACTAGTACCTAGATTTGAATAGAGAGGAAGGGGTGGGGCCCAATGGGAGGAATAAGGGAAAGAAACGGAAGGGGGGTGTGGGGGGAGATTCGAAGGTGGCTGGGCGGGCTGAATAGTGGAAGTAACTGAGTAGGTGGGGCAGGGGGAGTTGGCGACAGAATCATGAGTGTCGGGTTAGCGTGGGGAGCAATAATTGGGTCTCCCCTCTGATTTCGGACGCGTCGTGTCCGCATCAGATTCCTCCTCCCCCCTCCTCCTACTCCGCCTCCGTACCCTTCTCCCGGACCGGATTTCCCGCTTCCATGTACCCAGTAGCCGACAAACAGCATAGGCCTGGGCGGGTCGATGGCAAATGAAGGGCCTGATGCCGCGACAGGTGTCAGACCCAGAGATGGCAAGAGAGTGTTGTCGGTGAAGAGTGGCACGCTCGCCCCCGGCCTGTCCCACCCAAACAATCATGCGTCGCTGTCCCAGCCCAATCCAAAAAAAATAATAATAATAATAATCCAACACAATAATCTTCTATTTTCTTGAATCCTAAGAACAACAATGAAAATAGAAAATAGGAGAATATTTTATATTTATGCCTCATAAAATTGACAACTCGGGAGTTTTAAAATTCAAAAATTGAATTATAATCTGATTAAAATTATGAACAGGATATTAGAGTGAGTTAAAAATTTAGAATAAAAGGGGTACGAGTGTGTGTGTGGGGGCGAAGGGAGGATGAACGAGGATGAGGAGTCTCCAAGTGTGCAAATGGGTCGCCCATAATCACTGACCTTCCCAGAGTCCTTTCAGAGTCATATCCCTCTCTCTCTCTCTCTCTCTTTTTGGCCTTTTCTGCATCTCTGTGATTCCCCCACCCTCCTAATTCCATCATTATCTCATGGAATTACCATTCCCTCTTCCTATTATTACTCATCATTCTTCACCCCTCCACTTTTCCCTCGCCCTCCACTCCCGGACTCTCCTCCCACGCATCATCATGTCTTCAGTTTTTCTGTTCTTCTTCCTATCATTTCTATTTTAACTTCTTTTTATGTATAAGATATAGTCATAATTTTTGTACCCTTTTCATTCCATTATGCGCAATGCAAATCAAATATGTCAAGTTGAAATGCTATTCATAAGCATAGCTTTCCATGCATGACAGGTTTCCCCCAGATTAATTTGTGACTTTTTTTTATAAAAAAAAAATAATGTTCAACTTAGGATTTTCTTTTGAATTTTTTTTTAAAAAAAACAATCAAGGCTGTGACATGTAGTGCTATCAATCAGGCGTCAAATTCGTCAATAAGAAAGTGGATGGTGTCATGTGGAAATAATAGACAATTTTACCCGATACTCACGGGCTTGAATATTCACCCAGAATAATTACCACCCGAGTGAAAGAGTATGGGATGATCTCTTATCATTGCCTTCCCTTTCTTATTTTCATTTTTGGCTTATGTTCTTTCATCATTGTGTGTGCACGCGCACAAGTTGCAGACTATATTATATTTTCTGCCCAAAAAATAATTCAATTGAAGAACCGAATTTATATACACACACTAGTTTAGAGAAACCAAAACCATAATTTTAAAAATAATTTTAGGATATATAAAATAAATATATAAAAAGTATTTTTTTATTTGTGTGAAAATATTTTTAAAAAATCTTTTTTTGGGTTTTTCTCCAAAAAGCCGTGGGTTGTCAACTGCATATTTGGTGTGCTCTATTTGTTTTTTTCTTTTTGGTCCAAGGACAATTGATATTTTTTGACAAAAAAAAAAAGTGATTGAATGGACATCATAAAAATCCTTAATTCCTCGGAGAGAGAAAAATCTGGTGAAACCACCAAATTGGGAAATTACGGTCCAATTAAAAGTGACTCGTCATATCATTTCATCTCTGATCTCTCTCACGAATGAATGTTGCGAAGAAGGGGGAGGAAAAAAGAAGAGCAGATTGATGTAAAGTCATAGAAGGTAGTTGGATTTTTGAAAGCGCCAAGGCGGGCAAGTCGTTCAACAACAACATACTTCCTCCTTCTCCAGGTCCATCACGGAGTTGGAAAAGAGTCACCATCAAAACCACACTAAGCGACAAATCAAAAATCACACCCATATCTACTTGAAAGTGGAAACTACCCCCCAAGGGATGAACGAAGTAGCCAACTGGATGTAAAATACTCAGAAACACATAATATTTATTTATTTTATTTATAGTTGAATTCATTAGAGGCAGGATGCATTACACAGAGAGACAGAGAGGTACGGAATGGGAAAAAACATTAATCAAAGGTCTCGAAGTTGCCTAAGATTCATAGGAGATATGTATCTCTTGTCTCCGTCCAGAAGCTGTTTGGCGAGTATTAGGTTTGCTGCTTCACTTGGGTGATAAGGATCCCAGAACACATGCTTGTCCCTATCTGAACACATGCTTGATGTTGGTCCACACGGAATTATTCCTGCAAACTGCCCCCCATTTCCACAGCACGCTTTGCTTGCTGTTACAAACCCTGCATATTCGATCACGTTCGTACACACCACAAGGATTAATTAGAGATTATTATTAGCAAATTAAATCCCACATGTGTATTGTGCTGTTGTTTAATTTGTCTGAATTAGTACCATGGTTTTTGTAGTTTTTGATGAGTTCTGCCACCGAGTCATAGACATTTGCGTGCACGAAGGTGGCTCCAGGAAGGTTGTCTGTCAGCTCAGCAAGCAAATCCTTCAGTCGTGCGTTATATTGTCGTGCGAGCTTGTTAGCCAAATCCACACACTCGTCTTCGTTCAACTGGTTTATTGTTTTCTGGTAGGGAATGCATCCTATAGGACCAACGTTACCGATCACAAATTTCCGAGCATCCAGTTGGTACAGTCTCTGCCGTTCATTTCCAACATATATGTGAAGATATATAACTCAGTTTTTAAGATTATGTATGAAATGATTGATACAGATGTTCATGTTTAATGTACGTACAGTAAGCTGGGATCTGAAGTGAGTGATCATATCGTCGATGAAGGCGTCTGGGCTTTGAGAGATTCTAGCTCCGACGGAGAGTACCGGGAGAAGATAGTTGTTGAGGAAATCATTTGCTCCTACTGTGATTGAGAATATGGATTTCTTCATAATATGCTCCCTCGCTTTTGCTTTGCCTAGCAATTTATCAATCTCCTTTCTTGTTATGCTGAAGTAATCTATCTGAACATCCATTCCAATCCTATTAACCTGATGAATTCATGTATATTCAACAAACACGTCACATAATCAGATTTAATTTTTCTGTTTCTAATATGCATATATATTGACCCATCAAGTTATTAAAACTTAAAAGTACTGACAAATATTCTTCCAGTTGCGTTTAGAATCCCTCCTCCCCCTGAAGCGTAGTTTACCCCATACAGTAAAGCTTTGCCAGTTGCGTTTGGAGCCAAAAATGGCACTGCATAATTTGGTTGTCCGAGCTCCTCTCCTTTTTATAAAAACAAAAGTGAGATCAGATATAAAGTAGTAAAATGGGTTAATCATTTTGTTCAAAAGATTAAATGGGGAAGAAAAATTACCAACAATATCACCAATGGTTCTTCCATTAGTGTATCGACCAGTGGGATTTCCTCCAGTGGCCTTAAAATCTATACCATTAGGTGGAATGTTTGCCTTTGACAGAGTTGAAAGATAATTATTGTTCCCTGCATCTACCAAAGAATCTCCAAATATAAAAGACGCTCCCAACCCATCTTGCTCAGCAGCCACACAATGATATAGAAGAGAAAATAGCAGGGCCAAAGTGTTGTAATACTGCATAGCCATGGCCTTCCACTTCTGAAGCAACCGTTGCAAGAGCCAAAAGCCAATGATGAAGCTTATAAGGAGCTTGCTTTTATTAATTAACAAGCTTATTTGGTTTGACCATTTTTGTCTACTTAAACAAGTGAGTGACCAGTTTGGTTTCGCAAAATTTCCAGAGTGGTTCATCAATATCTGCAGATTTCTCAACTAGCTGTTACATAGACTTTGCCGATGTTAACAATGAGCTATGCCTTGTCCTGCACTTGAGGGCTGAGCTGCCATTGAGGAAGAATGTAAAAGCGGACTTATTAGGTGCATTGTTTGGTGATAGACTGAGAGTATAAATTAAAAGCAACGCCAACTTGCTATTTATGTTATCTATATCGGTCATCGGATGCATATAATGGTATTTCGTCTGAAAATCACAGTCCATCTAAACTCAACAAACAAGCTATTCATTTCAAAGGAGTAAGTGGGTTGGATTTTAGGTTCTGTGTGGGTCGGTTTGGAGCCTAGGAAGTTGTATTGGGTCGGCTGACACATGCACTACATTTTCCTAAGGAACACTCCCAAGAGAAACAAACAAAAAAGAACTTTGTACCAAAAAAAGAAAGAAGTATGCAGTGGGAATAGAATCAGATGCTGAGACCCGTAAAAATAAGAGAAAACAGAGGCTTTTTAAATAGGGAAAATTTCATTCAAGGACTGCTGAAGGCAATTAACTTCCAAGAGCCCCCAAAACAATATGAAAAGCCACTGCAGGACCGTGGGAGCAAATTGAAATTAACTTCAAAACCAAAAAGACAGTGTTGCCCTTCAAACTATTACTCTGAAATTTAAAGTCTTTTCTCTCTCTCTCTCAACTCCTGATATCTGAAGCCCCTCTCCCTCACTCTAAAAATTTCAGTTTATGCGGCGAAGGAGATCGCTCCCCTCACCTCGCTACTGTTAAATATTTATTTGTGCAGTATTTGTGATCCATTGCTACTAGTATTCCGTCGGCCAAAATAAACAATGCGATCGTGTGCACAGTCAGTAATATATGTGTTTTATCTTTTTCCCTGTTTGTTTGTTATGCTGCTGCTTGTTGTCATGCACTTGAAGCACTTTGTACTCATGGAGCTTGGAACAATACGGGTTTTCTTAGTTAAATAAAAATAATATTTTTAAAATAATTTATAATCAGTTGTTAATCCAAAAGATCTAAACTTATTCAAAGAAAAATTTCTGATGGAAATGCGTGTTGAATCTGTGCACAATAAGCCGATGCTCTGGATTATAAGCAATTTATTTTGTATAGTGCTATGAATAGATGGAGAATTTCATGATGGTACTTGGAGGTAAACTGCCCTAAGTACTGAACTTAAACTAGCCAGCGACTATATAAATGTATGAACAAATTAATCGACTTGCAAATGAACGTATTTTTATTGTTAATGTATGTATCCTTATTGCAAAGTTCCTAATTCCACTTGTGAACAATCACTTCCAGACCTGTGAATTGATGTGTTTAATTTTTTGAATGAAATCAATCTACTTGCAAAATGACATATTTCTATTATTAACGAGTATATCCGTGTTGCAAATTTTCTAATTTCACTTGTGAACCCTCGCTCTCAGACTTGTGATAAACTTTTTTAATTGAACTAGCTCACTTACAAATGGATGTGTTATTCTTATTAATATACATATCCTATTTGCAAATTTTCTAATTTCAGTTGTAAATGATTCCTCCCAGACTTGTGAATAATCATATATGACTTTTTTAGTTATATTAGCCTATTTGTAAATGGACGAGTTTCTCTTGTGAATCAATGTATCTTTATTGTAAATTTTCTAATTCTAATTGCCAATATGACAACCAAATACCCATGACATCAAAGTGTTAATCAACGTATCCTTATTGCAAATTTTCTAATTCGAGTTGTCAATAGTACATCACATACTTGCAAGTTAGTGGGGAAAGACAGCAAATTGTAATTAATTGACATGTAACCTACTCATTGTATATTCTCTAAAACAGAAATTGTGCAAATTCTCCATACATAAATTTTAACACATTCTAAAATAGCTTAAATTACATTTGAAATAAAAATATAATAATTGCTATGTCATTGCTTTGTTTTTTGTTGTCTTTATCTATTAAAATAGTTTGTAATAGCAGCTGATTGCGTATTTCTTTTATGAGTAATGAGCCACCACAACTCAAACTTTAGTGAAGTGTATTATTCCTGTGATACAGCAATAAGTACCGTCAATAGATTGACACCGGTGCGTCAATGAAAACTCAAAATAATGATTTTATTTAACTAAGAAAATCCGTATTGTTCCAAGCTCCATGAGTACAAAGTGCTTCAAGTGCGTGACAACAAGCAGCAGCATAACAAACAAACAGGGAAAAAGATAAAACACATATATTACTGACTGTTCACAGGATCACATTGTTTGTTTTGGCTGACGGAATACTAGTAGCATGGATCACAAATACTGCACAAATAAATATTTAACAGTAGCGAGGTGAGGGGAGCGATCTCCTTCGCCGCATAAACTGAAATTTTTAGAGTGAGGGAGAGGGGCTTCAGATATCGGGAGTTGAGAGAGAGAGAAAAGACTTCAAATTTCAGAGTAATAGTTTGAGGGGCAACACTGTCTTTTTGGTTTTGAAATTAATTTCAATTTGCCCCCACGGTCCTGTAGTGGCTTTTCAGATTGTTTTGGGGGCTTTTAGAAGTTAATTGCCTTCAGCGGTCCTTGAATGAAATTTTCCCTTTTAAATATGGCACAAAATTAACAATGGATTGGATATAACAAAATGGGCTAATCACTCACAACATAATAAATTAAAGTTTGAATTTCTACTAGGAGATATGTTGATATTTAGTGTTTGACAATGTCTCAAACAAAATTATCTCTGATAGGAGGATCCTGTGGCACAAAATTAATCTTTTAATATAATTATATTCCAAGTCTTACTAAACAAACTTTATCCCCAATTATGAAGGGTATAGTGTTTTGGGTGCTTATTATTATATTTTCAAAAAAGGATAATATGACATTGTAATATAACGAATACTTCGACTAATACGTGCATATCAAAGTGAGGAAAAAAAAAACTAACGAATACTTCGACTAATACGTGCATATCAAAGTGAGGAAAAAAAAAACTATCTAAATTTTTCCCTTCCTATTGACCTTTTTTTGGCTACTATTGTTGGGCATTAAATGCAGACATATTTCTCGATGAGAATTCAAACTTTGGTTTTTAACACATGTTGTAAGGGACTAACTCATTCTCCCAACCTACTGGTGTGCTGGAATTTTGGTTGAAGAACTTGCAGCTGTTTTTGAGAGATGTCAGGAGCTCTCTTTGGTCTACATCCCTCGTTCTGGTAATATGGCAGCAAATTGGCTTGCCAGGGAAGCTTTAAAGGGGTTGTTTAGTGGTGGATGGTCCTTTTTCCCCCCAACCCCTCTTTTTAAGATTTTGCAGTCTGATGCTCTTGGTAGTTCATAGGATAGATCAGGTGTTGGTTAACTGATGTAAAGACCGGCTTTTTTACTCAGATACGATGAACAGTAAAAAAATTTACTCAGATACAATAAGATCAAAACTATTCACTAAGATACTATACCTGAAATCGTTCAGACCGTGAACAACTTTAAATTTGTACAGAACTCGTTCTTGGTCTAACCAACCTCTGTGGGGCCCACATCAGAAAATAAAAGTCGTTCTTGGTCTGAAAAATTTCAGTAGGATCCACAATCCATATTTGTTTTATGTTCCATGTGAAATGGCTTCCTTCCATGCCTTTTCAATTTTCATTTGACCAGACCATACTTTTGTTTTTCCTTGCCACATGCGAAGTCATTCAGGGAGTAGTCTTTCATTGTTTGAAGCTCAACTCACGCGTAAGGATTCCTTTCCTACATATTCCCATCAGTATAGGACTCAAAGAGTGGTCATTCATTGTCTTCAGCTTTGTTTTGGCATGTGAGTGCATAGTATAATTTTGGTCTATATAATGGCATACAACATTCCCACTCTATCTGCTTTCTCATCACTTCTCAAATTGTTCTTAAACTTGGCCGATTCCCTCCATTTTTCTTTCTCTTTCCATACTTTTGTGTGAAGTAGGTGGTGTGTGCAGTTTTGCAATTGTATACATTTTAGAAATTAAAGGCTAAAAGGAATATAATTATTCTTTGACTAGCACATAAAGGTACATCTACGTTGAATAATGATAAGCTTATAATAAATGCACTTGTGTAATTTTACATTAGGTACCATTTAAGTGACTTAAAAAAGCATCCTTATGATTGAAAACAAAAATAAATGTTAATAACTATTTCACACTAGTTATTTAAAAACTGTAATTACTTAATATGACAAAACAATTAGCCATTACTGTTGAGTAATTTTTTTAGATTTATATTTTATTATTTGGTCTCCCTAAATAATTATAATTTTTATGATTATCTTTAATAAATATTGTTTTTCCTAAGTCCTCCTCTCTAATTTTCCCCAAATATTAAATGAAAAAACTCCTCTCTTTCATTATTATTAATCCCACCATCAGTACTCTTTTTATCAGGAAAATTTGGATACTATTTAGTGCTAGTTTTCACCAAATATAAGACCAGACTAAGCTCACAACCAAATATTATCTAACCAGATACATATTTAATCTGACTACATATTTACTCAAACACTATCTACTAAAGAAATAGTTATATATTTAATCAGATTATAAAAAAGTAAACTACAATTTATTTTACATGACAATTAATTATATGTCTATATTTTTTAATCAAAACAAACTCAACATGTAAAAATGACTAAATATAAAATTTTTACCCATCATTTAGCAAAATACATACCAAAATTTTTTTTAAAACATTCAATCAAAAGAATGTACCTTATTCAGAAGAAAAATTAAGCTTCAAGTTGAGATAAAATGTATACAATTGCAAGACCGTACACACCACCTACTTCACACGAAAAGTGTGGAAGGAGAAAGAAGAATGGAAGGAATCGGCCAAGTTTAAGAACAATTTGAGAAGTGATGAGAAGGTAGATAGAGTGGGGATGTCGAATACCATTATATAGACCAAAATTTTACACTATGCACTCACATGCCAAAACAAAGCTGAAGACAATGAATGACCATTCTCTGAGTCCTATACTGATGGGAATATGTAGGGAATGAATTCTTACGTGTGAGTTGAGCTTCAAACAATGAAAGACTACTTCTTGAATGACTTTGCGTGTGGCAGGAAAAAACAAAAGTATGGTCTAGTCAAATGAAAATTGAAAAGGCATGGAAGGAAGCAATTTCACATGGAGCATAAGACAAATATGGATTGTGGGTCCCATTGAAATTGGTCGGGCCAAGAACAACTTTTATTTTATAATGTAGGCCCCACAGAAGTTGTTCAGACCAAGAACGAGTTCTGTACAAATTTAAAGTTATTCACGGTCTGAACGATTTCAGGTGTAGTATCTTAGTAAATAGTTTTGATCTTATCATATCTGAGTAAATTTTTTACTGTTCATCATATCTGAGTAAAAAAGCCTGTAAAGAACTTTCTTGCTGATAAGTGAACGAATTTCTGCTTTTGACCAATAAAAAATACCCAGTCTCCCAGTCCAACTCTCGATGGTCCTATTCACCCTTTCATATAATGCTCATGAGCTGCCATTAGACGCCCAACAAGTCCGTTGACTAGTTCTGAGTAGCAAAATTTTTTGATAACATCAACAAAAATTTAAAGAAACAAGGGTCACATTCGATCATTTAAAAAGAATTTTATTTTTAATTTTTTTAAATTCACTGTTATCTCATATGAATATTAAAGTTCCATTCTTTCACTCCACCTTATCCCGTTGATATTATAATCAACCATGTTTTATATTATTAATCAATAATTGAATAATAACATTTTATTATAATTTACTTTTCCTTACCCTTATCATATTTTTTAGTTGAGGCTAACATGTCATGCCCACCTCTTGCTCTAAAGCAAATTCATTTTTTTTTAATATTTTGATATAAAATAAATTCGTTGAGATTGAGACATGATGAAGAAATAGAACTAAACAAGGTACATGCACAATCACCAACATGATACTTTAGCATTTGCTTCGCATCAAAGTCAACGTTTACAAAAGACCCGTTCATCATTTTATGTTCCTAGAAATAATTCATCTCACTTTTTGGAATCACAGAGTTTCTCAATCAGAAATTTGTACTTGCCCAAAAAGAGAACTACAAATTTGTTAAAACATCCTCTTTTTCCTTCATACTATTTCGAATATTTGATATAAGATCTAGTACATCTTATATTAAGGACTGTATGTAGTACTGCTTTTGATCTTTAATATAAGACTTTGTTTGACTTTTATTTTGGTTTTAAATAAAAAACCTCAATCCACTTTGTCTGTCATATTTATATATTTTTTTTCAAGATAGTCCTTTTAACAATAATAGTTCTAGCCAATACACTTGATTATTAAGGATATTTTAGGAAAGACAATACATATTTATTATAAACTACTAACTTAACTTTTTTTCTTAATCTCCTCAAATTAGTCAACTAGCTCTTATAAATAGGACTGGAGGTAGTATTTGTTATGAGATTCTTTTTCTCTTGCTTACATATTAGAAGAGTGTGGGCAAGAATGCCTTTGTCAAAATGAAAAGCTGTACGTTGATGAGTGCATTGTAAGTAATGTTTATGAGTACTTTTTATATCATGAGATCTATCTGTCTTGACTCCTAAAGCTAAACTCACTCACATTTTTTCCCATAAGAAAAGAAAAACCTCTCTTCTCCCTGCTCTTGTTCGAAATGAATCTATGCAAGCGCTTATGAGTTATATTAATCCTTTAATACTGAGTATAATTTTTTTCTATGAGCTGTCTGGACCAAACCAAAATCTTCACACTTCTCACCAAGTCAAATAATTGCTGATAACTCAGAATTTTTTTACCACACACGACATTATCCGAATCTGTATTATATCATTTAGTTACTTTCATAGTGGAAGCCGCCAATGGCAGTCAGATATTGCATTGCAGAAAGTCAAAGCCTGCCCACCACAGTAGAGAAAAAGACAGTATAATTTTCGAAATTACAAAATAAAGAAATGGGAAAGCAGGATGGGGATCCATTACATAATAAAACACAGAAAAGGATCTCATCAATTGTTCCTTGTACTTCTCTATCTTCAGTCTATCATATGTAATGGAGGATTCCCTCCCATTCTCACTAACATTGATCATCAGCTTGCTTGTCGCTCTAGTCTGCATCTTTATTTACTACTTCAGGAGATGGCTTACAGATGACTCTAGGGCCTCTAGTGCTCCTCAAGCAAGCGGGGCATTGCCTATTGTTGGCCATCTTCATCTTTTTGGCAGGGATCAACTGTTTCATGAAACACTAGCTGCCATGGCTGACAAGTATGGACCTGCTTTTACCATAAAGATGGGTTCATGCAAGGTCCTCATATTGAGCAGTTGGGAAATGGCCAAAGAGTGTTTCACTGTACATGACAGAGTATTTTCCGGCAGACCTATCGTTACTGCTTCAAAGCTTCTAGGCTATGACTGTGCGATGTTTGGATTTGCACCTTACGGCCCTTACTGGCGTGAGTTGAGAAAGATAGCAACAATTGAGCTTCTATCAAACCATAGGCTTGAGAAATTAAAACATATGAGAACTACTGAGGTGGAGATTGCAGTAAAAGAGTTGTACAACTTATGGTCAAGCAAAGGATGCCCTGAAAATGGGGTTTTCGTGGATATGAAGCAATGGTTTGGAAATTTGTGTTTAAATGTTCTTCTAAGAATGGTGGCAGGTAAGAGATACTTTGGAGCAAACTCTGAGGATGGTGAGGCACAGTACTGCCAGAAAGTGATTAGGGATTTAATACATCTATTTGGGGATCCTGTGGTATCTGATGCAGTCCCATTGCTCAAGTGGTGGGATATGAATGGTGTTAAAAAGAAAATGAAGAAGACGGCTAAGGCATTGGACCAACTCATTGGCGGGTGGTTGGAGGAACACAAACAGAGAAGACTATTAGGCGAGCAGGCACGGGAAGAACAAGACTTCATGGATGTGATGCTGAGGATCCTACAGGAAAACCCAATTCCTTTTTTTGACTCTGATACTATTATCAAGGCTACTAGCTTGGTGAGTTTCTTGAATTGATTTCCCCCTATTTTGTGTGTTTTTGTTCTTCTGATTATTGATTTAGTGGGCCGCAGATAACTTTTATTATTGATTTAATGCGCTGCACAAGGAATCTATGTTCTTGGAGGGCCTATAAGTTCTTGTGTGAACAATGCCTATTGCCGGAGAGAAAAATAAGAGAGTTGTTTCTCTTTCATGTTATAAAAACGAGTTAATTTATGACTAGTTCTTCTGCTGCAGAATATGATAGCAGGAGCTGACTCCATAATGGTGGCAATAACATGGGCTTTATGTCTGATACTTAACAATCCAAGAGTGATGAAGAAGGCTCAAGATGAACTAGACATCCAAATAGGGAGAGAAATCCTAGTGAAAGAATCTGACATTAAGAATTTACCCTATCTACAAGCCACTGTAAAAGAATGCTTACGTCTCTATCCTGCCAGTACACTCATTAATTTTCTTGAGGCAATAGAGGATTGCACGCTGTCCTCTGGTCATCACGTTCCTGCAGGCACACAGTTGATGGTGAACATATGGAAAATACACCGTGACGAGCATGTTTGGCCAGATCCTCATAGCTTCAAACCCGAAAGATTCTTATCTAGTCATAAGGATATTGATGTGAGGGGCCAAAACTATGAGATTCTTCCATTTGGCTCAGGAAGGAGATCATGCCCTGGCATGTCATTAGCACTACAGATGATGCATCTTACATTGGCTACACTTTTGCAGAGTTTTGAAATGTCTACTCCCTCTAAGGAACCCGTGGACATGACTATGAGCACTGGTTTGACAAATGTAAAGGCAACCCCACTTGAGGTTCTTCTTCTTCCTCGCCTTAAATTTTAACTCCATGGATGTATTTCGCTACTGTAACTTTTTTTAAGTGAGTGGAGCTACGTGAAGCCTAGCTTTTTTTTTCCTTTTGTTTGTACCGTTTTAGGCATGATTGTTCTTGTTGGGTTGTCGTGCATGCATCAGTATCTGCATGATAAACATGCGACTAGTGGCTCAGAGATGTTTGATTTTGTACTATCATTTTCCGACGTTTATTGATGCGAGTTATGTAAACTTTTCCTACTGGTGAAGGGAGAATAACAAATGAAGACTTGACTAGATGATTAATGTCAAACAATAACCTGATTCCTATTTAATCTTCCAGGTTTTACTACCCGAATTTTATATTTTTTTCAACTTCTTTTTTATTTAACATTAATTTTTTAATCAAATCTTGAATTGGGATATTTTTCTTAAATACTTTAACCCAAAAAAAAAAAGAAAGAAACAAATATGCACATTTGCTTGCCACTGCCATTTGGAAGACAGGACAACCTAGTTTTGACATCAACCTGCCCAAATCCATGTCAGACTTCAACTGAGGGCCACACTAATTTTCTTCTTTCCCGGTGAACATCAGGGTAAAACTAAATTTTATCACGCGCAGAGAAATGGATATTCTTATCAATCGATGGTTCTGCTTTTGCAAATATAGAATACTAATTGTATATATTCACTCCTCTTCCACCAAAAAGAAAAGAACACTTAGATCCCATTTGATACCACACATTGAAAATGAGGGATAAAAATTGAAAAAAAAAAATATGTTAAAAGAATATTTAGTATGAGTGATTGGTTGTTACTTATGACTTAACAAATCTATATTATGTGGATTGGGGAATACCATGAGATGAGGTGGTATCCCCCTATTCTATTTATATGGGACTGCCTAATCCTATATAATAAGAAATTATTCATACTAAACACTCTTTAATGGTTTTTCTCAAATCCTAATTCTAATCTTTAATCCTTGTTCTCACGCTACTACAAAAAAAAAAGCTTTCACGACACTAATTTACGATGGTCATTAGAAAAAACATTGTAAAAAAAATAACGGTGGTATTTTTATAAATATAGGGAAGTAAATTTTACTTTTCAAGATGGTTTTTTAAATATCCGCTTTAAAAAGTCTATTAGAATTTTAAAACCCTATCCATCCCATGATAATTTTCACTTTTCAGAGTCAGAGCTCATAGTCTCCTATTACCTCCTCACTCGATTTTCTCCCTTCTTCTACTGTTGCTGGCCTTTATCCTTTACTTCTACCATCTTTGCCATATTCTTCTATCATCGTTGCTGTTGTTATTGTCATTGCTGTCGCTGTTCCCGTTGCATTATCATTTTCATTCTTATTTGTGAGTTTTTCACTCTTTTTTCTCCATTCTTTTCATGGGTTTTATAGTTTTTGTGGTTTGACAGCCTGAAATTCGTAAATTTTATCAGATCTGAGTTTTTGATTTTACTTTTATTAAATCTTAATAGTTTTGATCTAGTGGTAGAAGGCGAAGCAAAATGGCATTATTATGGCGGAAAAGAATCTACGTTTGTTTCATCAGAATGCTTTTAACTAGTAAGAAGTTATTGGTTAATTGATTCTCAAACCCCTTTCTTTAGAGCCTTATTCTTTCGTTTCATCCTAATCAATGGGATGAAAGTGAGCTTAAAAAAAAAAATTTTACAGTGATTATTTCTGTGAAAAGTCACATACCACGGCGGTTCTTTAACCGCCATGAAATTCTTTATATTTTACGTTGATAGCATATACATGGCTCTTAAAACCGCTATGAAAAACTCATTTTAACTGTCGTTAAATATTTTTTTTTAGCAGTGTCCATACTTGGTACCAAACATGATTTTAATCCACTAAATCACTTGCTAATATGTAGAATATAGGCAATTCGAGGATTAAAAGTTAAGAACAGGGCAGAATAATGAGCTGATAGTTTTTAAAAATTATCATTCATTCTATATATATACAAGGTCATATCTTAGCATGGCCCGGACCTAATATCCTTTTTTTTTTTTTTTTCATCCTCTCGTTTTGATCACAACTCTTCTTTTCCCATCAATTTCACACTTGGATGAAGCCTTAACCGTCCATTCTGATCTCACCTTCCACTGGCAAAAAAGTGAATGGAATTACCAATCGCAATTCAAAAGATGCAAAACCACATAAATATTTACATTTGCACAATGCCACGTTCGCACAATTCTGCTGTCAATATCTTCTTGATCCCAATTTTCGCAGAGACGAAGATCTGGGGAAAACTTCAGTGCTATTACGATGCGATTGATGCTGTTGACCATATGGTTGCTCCGAAACTCGCCACATCTTCACTGACTTGTCCAAACTCCCACTGTACAGAATCCACCTTCGCTCGTTGCACATAGCCTCGTGATCTTTCTCCACCGCCAGACACTTCACCGGACCGGTGTGGCTATTCAGAATCGACATACAGTGATGCTCTCCGTTCAACGACCTTTTCCACACACAAACCGACATATCAGCAGACCCACTGAACAAGAGATTCTGTGCCGTCGCTAAGCACAGAACCGCCAATTTATGGCCCCTCAAAACTCCACCGTGAGATAGACTCCTGTCCCACTCCCAGAAATTCACCAACCCATCGGACGAACCACAATACAGAACGGTCCCTTCTGGGTTTATTGCCAATGCTGTTATCGCACACTCTTGCTTCATCAATACACTTGAAAAAGAATGCTTTGTTCCTTTTCCTTGTACCTCCCTCCGCCATGCCTTCACGGTGCCGTCGGCGGAACCTGTGAACACCAATCCGTCGAATCCCAGAACCAAAGCGTTGACGGCGTCGTCGTGAGCGGTTACGGATTCTAGGCATTTGTAGTTTGCTGCTCGCCACACTTTGAACGTTTTATCCCAAGAGGCAGAGTAAATGAGGGAGCAATCTTCTGTAAGGCCGAGGCAGGAGATGGCGTCGTAGTGCTTGATCCAGAGCTTGCTGCGATGTCGTTTGTCCTGACTTTCCACGTAATTGCTGGGTTTCGTTGCGCATTTGATGTAGTTTCTTAGAGTTGGCATGGTGGTCATTCGCTTGTACAGAGTTTCATCCTTGGCGGAGACTTTCCAGACCCGGATCTTTCCATCTTGATGACCCGTCAGGATTCTTTCTCCTGCAATCACAATTGCTTTAACCAGACCACTATTCGATTTGAACCCGGAAAATTCCTTGTGGTCCTTCCATACTCGAATGTTCTTGCTGTCGGATCCTGTATACAACAAATCTTTGCATGCCGCAAGCGAGTATATATGGCCTTCTTCACGGATTAACGACCCCAACAAAATACTGGACGATGAGCTATCTTCCATGGCGGGTGCAGAAGAAGGAGGGGCGTCTACGTGAGATGACCATGGAGATTTGGAGAGAGGAGACGAAGATTGCTCGTATAGATCAGCCGCCATTGCATGATATGGACCAAGAAGATCTACAACATTGCTTTCTCTTGGACAATGATTGCAGTTATGATCATTGTTATACTCGTCCTTATTATTATCGCTTCTTCCTAAGTTGTCAAACTTTTGGCGGCCATATGTATTACTCTCTTCGGAGAGCACACGACCTTTTCTTGTTGAGCCTGTCATCATTATATCCCTCCTTTGCATGCATGAACAAAAAGCGACAGAAAATTTTTCGTAGAATGAATATGATTAGATTAAACAGAAACAAAACTGACAATGAAGTCACGGGCAAAGGCAGGGAAAAGGCCTTTTCTTTTTGTTTTGTTCATTCAACAGAGAGGAAGGTGAATCACTGTTTTAGAGGAAAGGACGATATGATAATAATCCGTTAGAAAACCGCAAAAACTGTTGGTGTGATTGTATTGAAGGGCGTCCATTTTTAGCCTACAAATAGCATGCCATGGATTCGTTTGGCATATTTTAATTAATTGATTAGATGTCTAGCTTAGTCATATCATATCATGGTTAAAAAAAAAAAAAAAGAGATGTCCTTTTTCCTTAGAAACAGACAAATCCGACTTTTTTTTTTTTTAATCAAACAAACGGCATTCTTCGTAATGAGGTTTGATTTGGTCAATTGACTAAAATTAAGAGTAAACGGTATTCTCCATGTATTCTTATATATGTCCTATGAAGATGTCAGCTTGCTGCTTCAAACCTTCGGCCTTCCAAATCGTTTCATATATTTGATACTACCTTTGGTCCTAATTATAAGACCCAGTTGACTTATTTGAAGAGATTAAGGAAGTAAGTTAAGTTAGTTATTTGTAATAAATAAGTGTTGTCATTCCTAAAATATCCTTACTAATTAAGTATATTGGCTAGAACTATCATTATTAGAAGGATTATCTTGGAAAAAAATACATAAATATGAGAGACAAAATGGATTGGGGTCTTATAATTAGGACCAAACAAAAAGTCAAATGGGGTCTTATAATAAGGACCGGAGGTAGTACAATACCTTTGATAAAATATATTTTATATTTAGGATTAGAAAAGTATAAAAACTAACTAGGGATTCTATTTGGTCCTAAATATAATACTCAATTCACTTTGCTTTGTTTCCTATATTTATTAATTTGTCTTTTCAAAATAGTTTCTATGATGATTATACATGTTAAAGGATTTTTATTTTAATGCACATGATTTATGAGAATATTTCAGAGAAGAAAATATTTATTTATTATAAATAACTAATTTAATTAATTTTTTTTAATATTTACAAATTAGTTATCTAGTTCTTATATTAAGAATTGAAGTTAGTATTTATTTAAGAAAATTAATGGCTATAGGATATCACATGAAAAAATGACATAAAAATATTTATTTTTTAGTATTAAAATCAAAATTGAAAATTCTATACACATTAAAAAATAAAATCATTCTTATAGAAATATAAAAAATTCATACTTTTATTGTTTCTGAACTAGTAAACTGGGCTTCCTGACCCAAAAAGAGAACTAGTAAACTGGGCTTCATGATTTTTTGTCACATGGTTTTTACACTTTACTGTGACAGAACGACGTTTTTTTTTTGGTAAAAAAAAATGTTGTTTGGCAGGACAAAAGGACTTCTTTTTTCGGCTGACGTGACAAAAGGACTTCAATCGGATACTGGTATGGTTCGTTAAGTTCCCGCCGATTCACTGGCAGAGGCGGATGCACATCGATTTCATGCTGAAGCTACTTTTGCTTTCGGAGCCACTTCGAATTCAGCTTTACCAGTAGAACTTCGATAAAAATTCAGTGTTATCCAATCCAAATCCTAATTAATGCCACCATGCCCTTTAAACGCATCATCCGGCGGAGACTACTGTCTCTGCTTCAGCCATGGCTGCTGGGGGAACCTGAGTTCCATCTTAAATTAGGGTTCATCCAGTCTTTTGCGGTTGCGGATAATCTTCGCATTGATGTTTCCGTTCTTAACGAGCTCTTGGACGCGCCTGCTCTGTTGTTTTTCAAGGACATCACAGTTGAACATCTAAGCGTTCGATTATCGAACTGGTCCGCACCAGCCTTCTCAATCGAAGTTCATGGAGTCCACGTTGTACTATCATTTGAGTAAGTCCCTACTTATGGGCTTTTGTGTTGTTTTGTGTGTCCTTCTATGTCCTGTTCTCGCTGCCTTTGTAATTTGTACCTTAGTCAATATCTCCTAAAGCTGTCATTTTGTGTATGATATATAAGGAAGCCAGAGCAGGAGGGATGCTTGGGGCGCTTGCGGACATCAAAGCATAATGACTTGGAAAATGTGAGGAAGAAGCTTTCGGCACTTGATCCAGAGGTAATGCTCTGAGAAATTTTATATAAGTCGCCGTCCTATTTGTTGCAACTGCTGTTTCTTTTCCTATTACTTAACTTTTGCTACCCGGCGAAGTTCTCTATCAAAGCTGCTTTCAGCCAACACTGAACCGTCGTCTACATTATTATTCTCTTGACAGATTTTCCCAATGTAAAATGCGTAGCAAAAATCGAATTCATCGCATAAAATTTTCTTCGTTCTTATGTTGCTGTCCATGTTTGTTCGATTGCTATGCTTCAAATCGTGTTCATTTCATCATTTTGTTCTGTTAAAAGATTCTCTGCCTTGAACTGTCACTGAACGAGGTACTTGAAAACAAATGGAAATACTGATTTGGTTGGCTGCTTCTTTTCACTTTCTAATTTCTTGCAAAATCGTTAAAGGATGGGAATTCAACTTGAAAATGAACGTCCATTGGCTGTCTATGTTGTAGATGCACTAAAAATGGCGAAAGATCATTTGGGATGAACTCTATGCATTGTTATCTAGTCTATTGATCCAAAGAGTTTGATACAATTGGGCTTATAATTTTTTATATCAAGCATCTCCAAGGAAAATTTTTTATTAAGATGATACTCTCTCTGTCCCATTTTATAAGCAACAACTACCATCTTCCTCTTGTCCCTAAATATAAGCAACATTTGCAAGTTGTCTTAAATTTTTGTAGCAAAATTCCTATTTTGCCATTATTAATTACTTATTTTAATATTTAATATATTTATTATTTCATTTTCCAAACTATCATCTTTCCATCACACATTCTCTCTCTTCCATAATTCTCTTTATTATAATAATTTTCTTATTCTTTCTCTTATACTCTCTCTCCCCCATAAATAAGGGCATTTTAGAAAAAGAACTTCTAATTTCTACACATTTATTATCTTTAACTTATTTTAACTAATATTTTGTTCTACGTGATGAGTTCCAATGTTGCTTATAAAAAGGGACAGAGGGAGTATCATTATGGCCATCACAGTGACATTTTGTATGGATTTCAGGGTTGTGCTTTGCATCACCTCTTGGAGAGAATCTTGTTTACTGCACCTTCAAGAAAGAATTTTTCAGCATCACTTGTGAATCTTATTCTCAAACACTGTCATCTAGAGGCACATCACATCCGTGTGGAGGTTCAATTCCCTATCTTAAACAATGTGTTGATGTGTTTTGCGGAATTAGAGGAGTTTAATGCAAGGTCTAAGTTTCTGGATGGTAAATGTCTTACCAGAGGTCTTCTTGGTGCAATTTTTCTTCCAGTGAACGAGAGCTCTTACATATTAAATGGCATGGGGTTGAAGATTGGATTTAATGAGAAAGATTGCATAGACCGTCTTGTATTTTCATGTGATCTGTGTACACACATCAAATTGCATGATCTTCAGCTGGCCGATTGCACTATCTATTTTCCAGAACTGACTTTTTCATTCTCTCCAGATGACATTTTTATATATCTAGCTCTTGATAAAGTGCTATCTTATAAGCACAATCATGCTAGAAGTGCTAGAGAATTATGGAGATTAGCTGCCAGCAGAATGGGCTATGCTCCCAGATTGTCCTTGCATAGATTAGTTTGTACTGTTAGTCAATGGATACATTATGTCAACGCTTATGAGAATCTCTTGTTGTTGATTGGATATTCTTCTGGCCTCTTGTTGAATAGATCCATTTCTAAGATTTCTTGGAACAACTCCAAGTTGAGTTCTGCTAGACACCACTGGAAGGTAATATCTGACACTGAGGAAAGGTTGCCCATTGCAGGCATAGCCTTGGCAAGGCGAGTAGCTCGTCATAGAGCCACATTGAAAGTTCAATCTGATGGCGAGAAACATTTTATCACAAGTCCTTTCAATTTCTTTCGCCCTCTTTTCCCGATATTGATGTTTATATGGAAATTGACCTCAAAAATAATCAAATCTTTAGTAAATCTCTTATTTTTGAGAGAAGAAGTTGTGAAAGATCGATATGCTGATGGCACTTTGGATTGCACCAACAAATCTCCTTGTCAAAAGCGTTGTTTCATTCTGGACATTGGGAAAGTGATTATAACGGTTTCCCCAGCCAGTAGAATTCAACCATCTGTATATGCTGAGCTAAAGTCACATTATGGGTTTGAATACACAGATTTCCATTCAATAAGCTTTTGTATTGATGCTTTGTTATTTGTATCTGTTGAAGACATTTTTGAGCAGAGAGTTTATTTATCATGTGGGCTAATGAGGGTTATGCCTGCATCTCTTGGAGCATCATCAAAGTCAAGTAAAATGAATATTCTTATTGATTCAGAGAAAGAGAATAGGAAGGAAGGAATCGATGATATGGAATCAATTTTATGGGTTGAGCCAGCAAAGTTATTTTTTCTTTCAGATGCTGATGAGGTCCAGGATGAAGGTTCATGTGCTCTTCGTGTGGAAAGCCTTTTGGGGAAAATTTGCTCGAGCTGGAAAGGAATTTGTGATAGTTTTATTGAAAACAGAATGGAGTATTCTGAAAATCCATCTCTTCTCTGTAAGTTTGAAAGATCATTCACATACCCGGGCCTTAAGAATTCGGATTTTGGTTTCCCTGAATGTGGTTTGATTCTAGGAAAGTTAAATCTAGTTTTGACTCATTATTCAGTATCGTCAGTGTCTCTACTTCTTGGTCAGATGCAGCATTTTATTTGGAAGGAGGACAAGGGGAAAACATCACTTGTTTCGAATTCTATGGCTAAACCAGAAGTTTGTTGGGTTAACAAATTTGAGTATTATGCCAAAGCATGGGTTATGGCCCTGTTTGAAGTGCTTCCGGAGAAAAACATTCAGCTTGGAGTATTTGTTGATGGTCCTTCTGTGAGATTTTTACACAAGAAGGCTGATGTTAGTCATAATTCTTTTGACTTGATTTTTGATTTCCATGAGATAGAAGTGGCTATTGGTTCACCTTCCCTGTGTGGGGTGGCGCCATTGGTAGATTTGCTGGGATTTGATGATGTGAAAGAAGAGTGTCTTAGGTTGGAACCTCAGGCAATCGATATCCCTAAACCAAATTATGATAAATATGCATCGTGGGAAAAGATTTCATTTGGTTGTTATCTTCGTCTAAATGGTTTAAATGCTTATTTGAGGAAACCAGCTGAGAGCCATCAATTTCAACTTTTTGCAATGAAGCCAATTACATTACAGATTTCATCCATTAGGTAGGATGTTGTTTATAGGATGATGTTTTTTATTTTTTTATTTTTTTGGTTTGGGGGTGATATGTTTATAGGATGATACTTTGATTTCATTGTTGGTTCCTTGATGGTCCTCAATGGGTCTTGTATCTTGACATTATTTTTCTTTTGTTTATTGTTTCTCAGACTGGTTATTATTCTAATCAATGTCTGAAAAGCAGTTGATGTTTCTATGAGCCAATCATATATACTTGAATTTTTTTCTCAAATATATTTTTAATTTTTAATTTATGTCCTTTATAGTGAAATCTCCACTGGGACTTGATGATTCATGGTTCTTCAATGTTTTTTCTTAATAAGTTACCGGTATATGCAAATATCTCAAGACCTTATTTGAGATTGTTCTCGTCTCTTTGAGCTGATATTCTTTTTTCCTTTGTTTCTCTTTCCTTGCTGTTTTCTTTCTTTTTTCCCATGATATTCAAGCATTGACTTCATTTTTTTCTCCACGTGTTCTTTTATGGATAAAAAAATATTATGTAAATGCATGATTGTGCCAGTTGGTGTTGACTTGGGAATGCATTAATATGTTGCTTTTACACTGTGTGCCTAGGAATCTTAGTCCCATTCTTCAGTTCAATGAGGGGAAAAAAATGAAGTTTCAGCACCTGTGCAGACTTGGTGTTCTCTATGCTCAGCTTTCCTTTTTGGATAATTTTGAGTAGGCTTATTATGTATTGCTTTGTCAGTACTGGGGTTGATATATGTTGAATATAGGAACAAAGTCATGAAAAAAGTTTGGTGAATTTAATCTCTGATTGATTTGATGTTGATTGAGGCGAAAATAATAATTGAACTTTGATGCACAAATTTTACTAAGTAGAATGCAAATAATTGTATGATTGGATGGAAAGTATGTTCTCCGAATTAGATCACAATAAAACTAGATCACGATAAAGCAAACAAGTATGATTCAAGACGATACAAAGAATATTCAAATAATTCTGAATATGAAGTTTGGAATCACCCTTGAATCGGAAAAAAAATTGCCAACTTCTAACAGAAATTGTTATTCGTTTTAAGACCTTCGACTTCCCCACCCAACAAATTTTTTTTTTTTTTAAAAAAAAAGCAAAAGGAAAACACCGAAACTTGCAGACACTCCTTCTCTCTTACTGGGCTCTTAAGTTATGATTATATCATTTTGCTGCTTATCTGAAGTGTTTTCTGGAGAGAGAAGTTTCCGCAGGTGATATGGCCATGACCTCATGTTGAAATTTGATGATAAGTTACTTTTTTTTTTTTTAAGGCCCTTGTATTTGTGATAGATTTATGATTACTAGCCCTTCCATTACATAATTTAAAAATATGTTGTCATATGCATATTTCTCCTTGTGATTGTGATTTATGAGTGTTAAATTGATATTTCAGGGAGTACATGCACTCTTTAAGCACAACAACAGTTGCTTTTTCAGCTGCTTTCACCATGATGGCTGGAGGATTAACTGTTCTGTCATTTTTGGATGAGTTGTATATGATCTATCAGGTAGTTTTTTTCCCATCCTGTTTAAGTCAAATGATAAGTTTTACATTGTATGCCTGATTAAATTTATTGCCCCTTAAGTACTAGGCACCTTTATGCATTTTGAACCACTTTCTAGTGACTGAGAACATGAAAGAAGACCAAGTAATGCTGTTAGGACCTATTGTAAAATATGCTGTAAGTATATCATGTCAAGGTTTTAAGTCGATCATTTAGTGAACCTGTTAGGAACCAGTGAAGTTTTCTAACTAAAACTTAGTATAATATAAACGGAAGATCAAACGAAATGGGGAACTTGGGTCTTGCTATTCTGGCCCAAATCATCTGACAAGATCCAACCCGACATCTCTGTTGCACCCAAAATACAAGTGAACGGAAACAAAACACAGAATGATGCAAAGTTGCTACATGACGCTAATCTAAACCAACATATAATGTGTAAATGAAGTTGAGGGTACATATATGGAGCAATGCAGAACACTAGCACAGAAAATGAAGAAAGAGGAACTCCATGCACCATACCACACGGCCACCTAGAAACACAACTTATTCAATGGACACCCACCTGACACCCCTCGGAAACATAGCTAATACACAGATGCCCACTAGAAACACAACTAATACAACACAAAACCCTTCAAGATGAGAATACAGGTGCCAACTTTCGAGAGGATGGCTGCTAAATTCTGACCCAAAGTTCTTGTTCCCCTTTTTTTCAGCTTTTCACTTTTTATATCTTACCAGCTACTCTTTAACTGGTCCCTCTTATCTCTACCATTTGCTCCTCTGCTTTTTGTGTCTTTTTTCTTCTTTACCTTGGTGCTGTCTTCTGAACCAGTGGCTCCCCTTTTCTGCCCTCGTTCCTACTCCCTCATGTCTCCTTCTGTATGTTTTGGTGGCAGCAGTACGTTGGGTCCTCCTAACACTCCCCCCAGAAGATTCACCTTGTCCTGAAGTTGGAAACTCAGAAATGGCAGCTTAATACCATCATAAGATTCACTCAACTTTTTCCTCACTCAACCTAATCACAATTCAGAATGTTAGGAGGTTAGAGTTGGCATCAGAGTTTTCTTTTCTCTTCAGCCTTGTTATACCTTTTGAACTCTTAAATTCAGCCCAACCAATCAAGTTGAACTTGGCGAAGATCACTTACATCATAATCATCATTGGAGGTATTGGTTAGTGCATTTGTTGGGGTAAAATTCTGTGATTTTGGCCATTGAAGATATTTAAATTATTGCATGTCACGTAGCAACAAGGTGCCTTCCTTATAGATCTGTTGTTAGCTTTTACCTTCTTTCATTGGCCCCTTGAGTTAGCATGCATTCTAGGATATAAAGCTTATTTTGTTGCAAATCAAGTATTCAAGTGATATAAAGCTTATTTTGTTGCAAATCAAGTATTCAAGTGATATAAAGCTTATTTTGTTGCAAATCAAGTATTCAAGTGCTTTCTTTTAAGGATGCTGACCCATTCTCACTTACACTTAAAGAAACATATGTAGGCAAGAAGATGGGCAGGTGAGAGTCATAAGGGTGTGAATTAGGGGAGTTGCGCAGTTGCTGGATATGGGAGAAGTAGTGGGGATAGTGGGGATGCGGTGATTACCATTTCACTTGGAGAACAGACAATGATGATAGCACTTTAGGCACCCATAATGCACCACCATGTGCCGCTTTGCATATGTGATTGCACATGAAGTTGGTGTGGCAATAATTGAGAAAAAATGGTAGAAAATCCTTCAAAGTGGTTTGAACATGTGCAACAAAGGCCATTAGGTGCACTAGTGAGAAGGGTCAATTAGATGATCTTCATCCCTATAAGTGGTGTAGAGAGAGGCCTAGAAGGACCCTCAAGGAATACATTGAATGGGATATTCTGGTAAATGATATGTCTAAAGAGTTGGTAGTTGATAGAGCTCAAAGATGTCATGCCATCCATATCGCTGACGTCACTTATTAGGACATTAGTATATGGCTTCTTGTTGTAATTTATTTAATTGTTAATTACTAGTGCTATAAATAGCTGTACATTGTTGGGTGGCTAGAATAATCACTTTGTTTCTTGTATTTGGGAGATTCTCCTAAAACTACTGGAACTTCTGGGTGAGGTGCTTATATTTTTCTAATAGAGTTTCTAATTAATAAAAATACAGTTACCATCCCTATATCAATCACATGTTTCAAGTCTTTAGGTCTTCAGATGGTTACTAGGATGCATGGTTTCCTTATGATTTCATGAAATATCATTAATTCCATTGTGCTTTAGCTAGATAGAGATCCTTGTGCGCTTGGCTATTTCCCTAAATGATTTCTGCATTTGATGGCTTCAGTATTTTTTACATTTTTTTTCCCATATTGGTGGCATGGTCTAATTACAAATTACAAGGACCAAAATTTAGTGGGGTCAATAATACTGGTTGATGGGGGAAAGTTAGTTCAAAGGATTTTAAATTGTAAGGACCTGATTTCAAAGAAAAATTATAGGGAATGAGCTTAAGGTGGAATGAAATTATGGGGACCTGATATACTGTTGCTAGATTGTAAGGAACTGACTTCATAATTTTTATTATTGTTGATAAAGGATCTCTTTTCTCTTTTACAGGCAGTTTCCAGTTTGTATGTTGTGGTGTCCTGTCTTTTTAGCAGTCTTGAAGCAGTTGATACTGTACATACCAAAATCATGAAAGAAGAAGCATTATTTGCAGAACCTGAGAGGCAAGAGGGACCTATTGGAGGAACCCTGTTCACAAATTATAGTTGCCTGTTTTTAATTAACGGGAACTGCAGATTTAAGTCAGTGGATGTAATTCTTCATAATTCCAGGACAAAAGACAATGTGGATAGTTGGATGAGAACTTTTAGCTTGGTAACTGGCAACATTTTAGCTGAGAAAAAGTTGGCTGATTATGGAATTTTGGTTTCTATTCAGAATACCTCTGTTACAATATCTTGTGAAGAAGGAAAGGCAGATATTGTCTCTGATTCATCAGGAATTATGCTTCTTGTCTTTGAATACGGGAACTCTATTGGAAACAATGATGATCACGTTCTCCTTGAAAAGTTGGTTTTGCAATCTGTTAATTGCTTACATGAAATATCTCTTTCTGACTGCAAATTTACTTTATACTTGAGTGCCCCTCAGAATGCTTCTTTAGACAACGAGAGCAAAAAACCTGGTGGTAATATATCTTTGGGACGGGATATTGATCAAGCAATCTGCTCTGAGAGATCCAATAATCAATCTCTCCACTTTGTCAAGGAAAGGGGGTCTGCTACAAATATTCGAACTCCAGCTTCAGGAAGTTGCTGGTTACTTATAAGTGTTGCAGTAGGTAATGTTTTCATAGGAAGGTGTCAAATGAAGAATGATCTTGTTCCAGCACATCAAATGAATAAGTTTCTGTCTTTGGTTTCTATTGGTGGAGAATTTGAGTTGATATCCATGAAAATTCAGGTAATGTGTGTGATTTAGAGGGAAGAAATGCTCTCTCTCTCTCTCTCGCGCTTTTAACTGCATCTTTGCTTGAAGCCTTTTACTGAGACGAAGTTTTGAAATTTCATGTGATCATTGTCTTCATTTATGTCTCTTTGGTTAATGTTCTATTCCTTTCTCCACTCGTGTTTCCCAGGATAGGATATTTGGTTATGTTTTATTGTTAATTTCTCTTTTGGGATCTGATAGGCGGGTCTGTTGGCTACAGTTACATATATGTATTTGCACTTGTTCCATCTTGAGGAGAATGAGCGAGAACATCATACTCTGAATTTTTTTTTATTTTTTTATTTTTAACAAATTGAAGTTCATAAAAAGATGACTATGCAGCTTTCTGGTTTGTTTCACTTTCAAGCTATTATCTATAAATGCTGTCATCTCAATATTTACAATATTTCATTTCATTCAGCTGAGCTATAAATTTTATGGGGCAGGGTGGAATGATTCTTGAAACGGCATCTTTAGCAGTGGTCAATGGTTGCTATTCTTCATATCTTCATAGTATTTTAAGTCTTGCCTCTGCTTCTCGACAACATAATAGATGCACAATGACAGAGCATAGTGAAGCACGCTATAATCTTCCTGCGGAGGATGCTCAAGGGACTCCTTGCCCGTCTTATCAAGCTGAAAGTGGATTACCAAATACATTTGCTTTATCTTTGTCTCACTTTGCTCTTGTCTTTGTGCATGAAAATGAATCTGGTAAATTAATTTCGTCTTTAGATGTGACACTGCATCATAGTGTAGGAAAACTTAATTAAATGTTTAATCTGTTAACACAGGTGAAATCCGAGAGATTTTAGTTGAGGCTGACATCCATCTCAAACTCGAATCAGCAACTACTAGGAGGAAATTGAAATTTGACCTTTCTCATTTGTCAATACTCTCTCAAGTTCTTCATACAAGTGAGGATGATGAAATAGAAATCCCTCATTTTGCTTCAGTGACACCAAAAGTATTGTCATCTCACCATGCATCTGGAGATTTTCTTGCAGGATCTCAGAATTTAGATGAACTTAACTCTGTTAGTGTTGCAAGCAGCTCAAGAGACTCTGTTCCCTTGAAATCTGAGTTCCTTCATTCTATTCATCAGAAGCCTATTTTGAAAGATTGAGAGCATTTATGGAACTAGAGAGTCCAGAGAGTGGTTCTTTACACTTGTCTCACAGTTGGTTTGGCAGTTGTTCTCTTCCAGGCTTTGATGTTACACTTTCTTTATCTGAAGTACAGGTGATAATTTCTTCTGCTATTTAAAGTTGTTGGAAGTTGTCCAAGTGTTTTCCCCCTTCAAAATACAGTGCCCTTTGTCTAACTCTGTTTTCATTACGCCAGACAATTTTGTCAATGACATCTTCGTTTTATGGTGCCTCTAGTCAGAAGACATCCAGGGAATTTAACAGAAATAATGGCACTGCTAGGCAGGAATTTAACAATAATTTGGAAGCAATAGTTCCTGATGGTATTCAGAATTAAATTTATAGTTTTGTTTATTATTTATTGGAAAATTACAGTAGTAATTAGTTGTGAGCTTGTGTAGGAGCAATTGTTGCAATTCAAGATGTTGCCCAACATATGTATTTTACGGTTAAAGGTGAAGAAAGGAATTTGAGTATTGGTGGTGCAATCCATTATTCTCTCGAAGGGGAAAGGGCTCTTTTCAGGGTATGAAATTTATGTTGAATTAACATACCTTAGGTAACTGGCTTGTGAGCTCTATACGTTTATATTACTGCAAAATTTTCATTCATTAATGGTTCTATCTGAGGACTAGTGCAAATTTCGCTATTCTTTTCCCCTTTGTTAGACAATTTTTGAGGATTTTCAATTTTTTTATTATCTGTTTTATAAATGAAAGGAATACCTTTGGTTTAGGAACTCTAAGTATCTATATTTCTAGACTGGGAAAAATTAGTTAGACCGGTGGTTAATTAAATTAATATATCCTAAACTGATATAACTTGGTACTCCTAGTTGTTATTTCTAGCAAAGATTAGTTATAGCTTTTCTCTTTTAATGAATGGTATAGGAAAAGATAAGACAAAATCTGAACATAGACAAATGGAAAAGAAACCGAAAATGGAAATGGGTTCTCTGACTTTTGAGAGGTCAGGGGCTTTCCTTCCAAGAAGCCAGTCTATTTCTTGCCCTCTCTCAGGCTGCATGCAACTCTAGGAAACAGTCACTTCACCTATTGGGTGTGACCTGAGTAGCTTCACTGGGGTATTCTTCTTTTCTTGGCAAGAGGCATTTTGGGTTTGGACCTTTTATATACATGCTTAACCAGCACACCAGGCCCATTAATAACTCATTAACCACTCTATGCTTTTGTTTCACTCCTGGTCTTGTTTCTTGTCCCTAAACCATAAATGCATTTGCTGAGAATTCCTGAATTGGAAAGGATAAACATGAGGTAACTTGTGGTTTATAACATTGCGTTGGGGTTTGTAAGTCTGTCAGACTGTTGTTAGAATGTTTTCATTAGCGACATGTTCATGGTATGATTTAGAACCAGGAATCACAATTCTTCTTGGGCTTGGTTGGAATTTTTGTCTGCAAATGACCAAATTTGCTTGAGGATTACAATATAATTGTCCTTTGTCTTTCTGAGCCTGGTTCTGAGATAAAGTTTCACATTACCTCATTTCTTCTCTGGCTGGACATATCGGCGGTGCTCTTAGTTGGAATGTCATCATTCTTATGGATCATATCTGTTGGCTAAATTTTCTGCAGGTCAAATATTGCATTGAAAGGAGATGGAAGTCTACAGTTTTGTGGTTTTCCTTGATATCATTGTACGCTAAGAACGACATGGGTGTGCCACTGAGATTGAATTAATCCAGGATCATGCTTTGTTGACATCTGCTGTACTAATGATGGAGGATGTGCGCTTTGGCAAGCTCATCCTTTTCAGGATGATGGTTCTGAAGGAGTTACTGACTGGGAGGGTTGTAATCAACTGGTGAACAGAACCTTTTACCTTGTCAACAAAAAAAATGATTCTGGTGTGGCTTTTCTTGATGGTGTTCCAGAGTATGTGCAGAAACCTGGGAACCCAATCAAGTTCAAAGTTTTTCATGATCTTTCTCTTGCTCTTCATGGCATAGGAGCAGATAACTACCCAAGAATGGCCTCTCTGAGCAGTCCGCACATAAATGAAGAAAGTTTAGCATGGCTGTATGGGAAACTTCCTCAAATTGATATTAAAATGGGCAAAATTTCAGTGAATTTTGTTCATGAACTTCCAGGCACAGAAGATTTCTTCCCTCTTCTCCGCGTGCATCAACAATGCCCAACTTATAATACAACAGAGGTTTGCGACAAAATCCCGGATTATAAGCACATCAAGTGTTGTGGCACATATTTTGATGCTCAAAGAGATATATGGTTAGTTACATGTCCTTTCTAACTGTAAAGCTTTTGTTTTATGTGCAATACTTTTAATTGTAATACTTTTCATGAACAATATTTCCTTGACTTTTTTATATTCCAGGGGAGAACTTCTCCGTCCTGTTGAAATATGTCTTTTTTACCGAGCTAAATTTCAAAGCCAGCAATCAGAATATGCATCTCATGCAGTTCCCGTTAATTTTTATTGCAGAACTAAAGAGGTTGTTAAAGCTATCTCTGATTTCTTGTTTCTTTACTTTCATTTGGGCATCATTTTACCATCTTCTAACATTTCTCATCATATTTACAGCTTAACATATGCCTTTGTGAGCTATCATTGGACGTACTTCTCTTCATGATTGGAAAACTAATCTGTCTGGTCCTTATTCACTGCGAAGCTCCATGATTCTGGCTAACTACTGCAAGGTTTACATCCAGTGCATATTTATGGTTCTTAACAGCATGTCCAAAGGATTCAACTGATTTTTTTTTTCCCAGTAATTCTGTGTCCCTACTTAATCTCATAATTTTTGTAACTGTGCTTTTCTCTTATCTGCCTTGGCAGGTGGAGAATCAGTCAGGCTTAAATCTTCTATTGCATTTCAATCAGCAAAGGGTTACTGTAGCCAGAAAACAGTCTACTTCCATTCTACTAAGGTAGCTACATGGAAAACTGCCCTTGATGTTTTCATGTATGACACAATGATACATAAAACTGTTTATTTGCTGTTTATATTGGAGAGTGTAGGTTACTGAAAGAGAATTTCTGTTTTGACATTAATTTGATTGTCATTTTCCCGCACATGTCTTCTGATTAATTATTTTTCAGTGAATATTTCACAGCTACTGTGGTTTGGGATCTCGTTATTTGATCGTAGCCTTTATTTTTTTTCATGGCTGATATTGTTTGAGTGATAGGTCTTGATAAACACTGGAGTGTAGGTTTATGGTTATCTAATGATATGAAAAGGTTTCCAAGGACCATTGTCACCTTTCCTTATTCTGTGTCTCTTTTTTTCCCCGCTGGTCATTCATTCAGGCCGTGTAACTTAATTCTTACTCATATTTATGTTATGAATGTTAAAGATTGGTTAGTAACAGTTAAACTATAAATAGGATTGTATTTGGTGCTGGGACTGGAGAGAATTTTTAATGCCAGTTGAGTTTGTTAGGGAAGGTAGCTAATATCTGTCACCTATTGTAATAAATGTCAATTTTCTCTTATTGTATAAAATTGAAAAAAAATGTTAGAAAGAAGTTTTGAATGATGAAAGATTGATTGTCTACACAAGAGTTATCAGATTCTTCTTGAACCACTGTGTATCAATGGGACATCTTCGAATTTTAATGATTAGAGTTGCATTCTAATTTGATTAGTTGATTGATAAATCATGACTTTCATGTGACAGGCGGCTCTCTGATTTCACGGCTCAAGATTTAGATAGTGCAGCCTCTGTTTCAATCCAACTTGCTGATTTTGGATCCTTGGCGACGACTTCCATTCATCTTTCACTTTCACAATCATCCCTTGCTTGGAGAACACGTATCATGTCAATGGAAGGTCTCATTCAACCACTTTCTTGTACATTTAAATGAAACATCATTAAATAATTCTCTATCAGCTGAACTGTGGAATTGGGCCTGCCAAACTTGCACGCTAATGGTACTGATTAGACATTGTCCTGTTATGAAGGCTTCTTGTCAATAAGTTACAATCGTGCTTTCTTTTTTCCTCCTCTCTGTGTTCTAGCCCGTCTAGTATTGTAAAATATTTCTCACGCGACAACTTTTGATTTAGAAAAAAAGGAAAAAGGGATAAAAGTGTGATCTTATTTTTGGTGTAATTATTTACATGCAATATAAACAGAGTTGTATGGTCTTAAAGTACCACAACCTCAAAACTTTCAGTCTTCATTTTCATTCATCATTTTAACTCTTTACACTTTAAGATCTTGTAACTTCTGACAAGGGAAAACTTATCCTTTTTGCCATAGGTTCAAGAACATATCCTGGGCCATTTCTTGTGGTTAACATTTCAAGAAAATTAGAGTATCTTCACATGTCCTTTTATACTGTAACTTTCATTCCATTTTTTTGACTATTCATGGAGACTATAGATTATCTGTTAAGGCCAATGATTTTATGCTTATCTTTTAAGGATGGTTTGTTGGTTGCGGTTTCTCCCATTGGTTACCATACGTAATGAAACTGGACTTCCGATGGAACTACGATTCCAGCGGCCCCAACCAAAGGAAGATGAATTTGCATCTGTGTCGTTAAAACCAGGGGATTCTATTGATGATTCCATGGCAACTTTTGATGCTATGAAGTTTTCTGGAGTAGAAAGAGGGCTTTGATGTCTTTAACTGTTGGTATGCATTGTCAACTTTTGCTTTTATCAACTAAGATTGCTTTTCTCACAGCTTCTATCCTTGCTAATATTTCTCTTCTATTCATGCATGTAGCACAAAATGTGCATACAGACACTAGAAATCCTGACATTCTTCTGAAATACTATCATTTTTTCAGTACCATAATACATTGTTTTACTACCTGAAAGATGAAGACACATGAATTCCCTTTATATATTTTTTTACCCCATCAAAGTTTCTAGCCTTTTATCAGGGGCCTGATTTTAAGACATTTTTCATTTATGTTTGGTTTTGGGATACAATTTCAAGAATCCAGGATAAGGTCTAGCATTAACTTCCTGCTTCTAGCCCTTCATTAAAACGATATAAGGGGTTGGCTGCGGTATGCAAGTCTGTCATCAAAGCAAGAAAGAAAAGAAAAGTTGGGTGTAAAGGTTGGGAAAAGACAAGTTCAGAACATTGGAATCACATCAGGAGCTTCACTAGGGGAAAAATGATAATTTTCACAAAGAATAAGAAAGATGGAGGAATTTGAATGAGAATACTTCCTTAACTAGCCATTTTTCTATTTGTATTTATAATCATTGATTTGATCAAGTACAAGGGCAGTACAACTAGTGCAAGTCCAGTCCGCTAGTAATTAGCACTCATATTTTAGCTTTGTCACACACTTGTTATTTTATCATTGTCCCTCAAAGTGAAAATTAGTCAAGCTTCAAGTTGTTATAAACAAGAGCCAATCAAAATTGGAATATATATATACACACACAGATTAAAACCCTAGATAAGGTACAATGACTCTTATGGTCACCCAACTGCAATTGAAGAACTTCAACAACCAACCCTTCCTCTAATGATGTCCTAGGTAGACAAGAAACTCTAATATTCTTTGACCTGCTTCCCATGAGTGGCTCTTTCAACATTGTTCGAGGCACTCTTTCCAGGTATGTTGACACATTTCTGAAAGTCTTTGATCTACTTTTCAAACTTCTCCCAACAAGTCTTTAATGCTTGGGTTGCACACGTGGGAATCCAACAAAACAAAACCCTAGTGCTAATGTCTTCAATTTACTATTTTTCAAAATGTTGTCCGATTTGGTAGCATTTCCCTTGAATAATGGAATGGGAATGGCAACGGCAACAGGAATGGGAATAAGAAAGTTGGCCTTCCATGGAATCAATTTGTATGATTGGTGTGGTAAGAGAATTAAAATGTTTGAAGATAAAATGCAAGGAAAAGAAAAGAATGATTCAGGTTATGCTGATACCCATTATAAGAAATTTAAAAAAAGTACAGGAATAAGGCTTTGCATTAGGCCTCGTCACTCTCTTCCTCATCAGTCGATGGCATAGGTGGTGACAGTCTGAGTAAAGCTTAGTGTGCTAGTGGGGTTGAGAACCTTGAATCACAACAGTGATGGAAGTAGGGATTCCATAGGCCTCATCACAGCAATGATTCAACTAGTATAACCCAGCTCTTTAATAATCAAATGCTAAGTTAACCCACCTGTCACACCCACACTATTCTATCAGGTAACAAGTGAAAAAGAAGTGATGAAGATGAATGTTTAATATTTTCTTCTTTAGTTACTTTTCTTTTCTCACATAAAATGTTTTGGTCATATATCTTTATTATCTTCTTTTCTGAGGCATCAATTAAGTCTTATCATGATCTTGTGTCTTGATTCTTGTGACTGATTTGGCCTAATGATTAAATGTCAGGTAACTTCTTATTTTCATTAAGACCTGAAATGACAAAGGACATGACAAATTCTGAAACTTCTCTTTCTGTGGGATGGTCTGATTGTATTAAGGGTGGAAAAGCAGTCCATCTCTCTGGCATATTTGATAAATTAAACTACAGGGTCCGTAAGGTGTTATCAGTAAAACCAGTTAAATGTTCCTTTAGCACAGCACAATGTGCCCTCAACTCAGAGGGAGGAAATGTTGGCAATATGCACTTTCTTATTCAGACAATTGCCAGAGATGTCCCTGTTGCACCACCTGAAAAGTCCTCAGTTGAGTTTAAAAATAAAAATTCACCAGTTTCACTGCAAGAGCAGAAAGAAATACATATCCTTCCCACTGTACGGATGACCAATTTATTGCAGTGCGAGATAGAAGTCCTTCTAAGTGAAACAGGTGAGATAATGATTTTTTTTGCAGATTAACTTTCTATTAGCAGATTTAACGTGTTCTTTTTTTTTTTTTTTTTCCTGTGATGTAGATCAGCCCAAACTTTATGGGAATGACAATATTGGAAAGCAGGCAAAGATATCATGCGGGTCCTCAGTTGACTTTTATGCCAATCCTGCAGTTATATATTTCACTGTTGCTTTAAGTGCTTATAATTTGAGTTCCAAGCCAGTGAACAGTGGCGATTGTGTGAAGAGGTTACTAAAGCAAAATGGTGATGCGCGATATCTGGATATAATCTTGGACTTTGAAAGTGGAAATTTTTTTGCAACATTAAGATTGTACCGTGGAAGCAGGGGCATGCTAGAGGTTGTTGAGCTAGCAGTTGTTTACATTAAAATTGACCAAAATCTTATTTCCGGTTTTGGAGAGAGCATATCTTATATTGCTTTATTGAGGACTCAATAAGTTTACAATAATGTCAATTTGTTGTGCTCATTGCAGGCTGTTGTTTTTACGTCATATGCAATGAAGAATGAGACAGACTTTCCAATCTACGTTCTTGCAACTAAAAAGAGGCATGTGCCCAGGTGACTCCTTTTCTTTCATTGAGTTAATAGTAAAATTAAACCCTTTTTTATCATTCTTGATCCATTGAATGTAAACCTATGTGCAGGATTGAATTGGACAATTTAAATTCCGGCAGTCTTTTGGAGTATGGTTTGTGCTTGCCTCCTAAGTCTACCAGATCATGGTTCTTGAAGTAAGATTTTATCTTCCATCACCGATGGATTTAATGTGCCTGATTAATGCTTTCCTGTAAGATTATCTAAACCTGCATGGTTTTTATGGTAACTTATCCTACTCTGCTTCCAGATCCAAAAAACTGCAACTTAGATTGCTGGAGGACTATCAATCTGAGGCATTGTTAGACTTGGATGCTATATCAGGCCTCACAGAAATAAGCTTCTATAAAGAGGAAGGATCTGAGATGAGATCTATAATAAAGCTTGGGGTGTCTACTGGCCCTTCTTCAGGGGAAATTGTTGTGCCATTTCAAATGGTGACTTTGGTACCGCGATATGTCATTTGTAATGAATCAGAAGAACAGATCAGTGTCCGTCAATGTTACTTGCAGGTTTGATTTTATAAATAATAATTTGAATGCGATAGGAACTGGTGGCCTTTACTAGTTTATTGTTCAGTGAATTATTATGTTTATATGTTTTTATGTTTTAACATATTTCTTGCGTTAGCTGCTACAAGTGTCAGTGTTGGTTACATTATTGTCATTTTATATGGATAAGATGTTATTTTCAGTTTATTTACCAGGCTATAAATGTCATACATATATTCAGCCAAAAGGAAGAATAAGTATTATTAAGTGAATCATTTCCTTTTCTCTAGGATTACAGATTCTGTTTCTAGATTTTCTCTCCTTCTTTACCCCTTTCTCTTCTCTTTCTTCCCCTTTCCCCTATTTCTACTTCTATTTTCCAGATTTTCCTACTTCTAGGATTAGATTCTAATTCTTGAGGACCCTCACGTCCCTCCTACAATCCTATTCTTTCCTCTACTTACTCTATCTTTTTCTACCTAGCTTCTAACAGAATGTTTATTTTTTCTTTAAGATACATGTGATTAATTTTTCTCTTTGTGAAGGATGACTTGGCAGGCATTACCTCCATTGACAGTAAACAGCGAACAACACTGCGGCTAAAGGAAGGATTTGGCAGGGAGAGAGAGTTCAGTTTATTTGATCATTTTATTAGGAAGCACAGAAGCTCCAGTGACAAATCTTTGCTGTATGTTCAGATTAAAACAAATGATCCAGGATTTGGATGGTCGGGGCCTGTATGCATAGCTTCCCTAGGACGTTTTTTCCTGAAATTTAGAAAGATAACTAACAATTTCACAGTACCAGACAGTAACATGACACAGTTTGCTGCTATTCATGTGGTGGAAGAAGGCTCTACTCTTGTCTTACATTTCTACAAACCCCCAAATCTGAGTCTTCCATATCGAATTGAGAATTGTTTGCACGATTTATCCATAACTTACTATCAAAAGGTTGTACCATTTTTATATTTGTTTCATATTTTCTGATATTTTCTTATTTTTTTAACTTTGAATTTTTCTTCCCCTTATATCAATTGAGAACTTTGCAGGCTTCGTCAGAGCCCGAGGTTCTTGGATCTACTACCAGTGCTGATTATGTGTGGGATGATTTAACTCTTCCTCATAAACTAGTTGTCCGTATTAATGGTACTTGCTCAGAACAATTCATCTTTTTTCCTTTAGTTTATTCTCAGAAATGCTTGAGTGGTATTATTTATTTTCCATACTCAGTGTAGTAGAGATGCTACTTAAAGCCAATATCTACTTCTTTTTTTAAGTTAAAAAGCCAATATCTCTTTTTCAAATTCACTAATATATAAACTGGATATGATACAGTTGAATTTAAAGCCCTTTAATTACCCTACTCCATTACATGTGCTTTCCTTGTGGTCATATGATTTGGGATACAGGCTTGACCTTTTGATACATAACTTAGTCATTATTCTGATGTTTTTGTAAATCCCTTTCGTTGTATTTTGCTGCGTTGGTGGAACTAAAGAAATTTTTAGTCTTACATCTAATAATGGTAATGATTTCTCTTGCAGATCGCCTGCAGTTACGAGAAATTAAGTTGGATAAGGTGCGGCCATGGAAACCATTTTACAAAGTTGGGCAACAAAGAGTATTGGCTCCACATTTGCTTTTAGACAAAAGATCAAGGGATCAGAGAGCAACTTTCAATGGGCTTAATGGCATAGAGATAGAAAAAGTGGGGTATGAAATATATGCAGAGGGACCCACCCGTGTTCTGCGGATTTGCGAGATCTCTGATTGTTTCAAGGGAGATAGAGTTCTTGATTTGTGCGCAAAAATGCAATTGAGAATTTCTCTGTTTGCTATCCATCTACTTGAACCTGCAAAACAGGTATTTACATTTTTGTTGAGTGCTTGAGTCCATCAGTTGATACTAAGTTTTCTTTGAGCTTGCCTCTTCTAGCCTTTTCTATGATTGTGGTTGAGGCTTCCAGATATGTGCATATGTTAATTTTACTTAAAATAATTGGACTTGGGACATAAATGTGTATTCCTTCTACGTCTTTGGAATATAGTTTGTATCGCTCAGTGTGTATCAGTGTGTACCTGGTTCTTATGTGTCTGTCCTAAAAATGCAATGTAGAACTTGAGAAAAACATTTCATATAAATTTCTAATTCAGGATCTCACATGGGTTAAAACGTCACTGATTGAATTCCAAATGCTGCTGTTATGAAATTTATGCATTTATAGTTATGAAATTTATGACCCATTAGAAAGCGAGAGGACTTCTTCCAGTCCACTTGATCATGTTAGATTACTCAATACATCACATTGAAAGCATAGCAGGTGTGGTAATGACATTTTTTAGTTTTATACTTATGTGTGATTGTTGTTCTTCTCCTTCTTCTTGTTTTTTTTTTTTTTTTGGGGGGGGGGGGGCGGGGGATTTGCATACTTGCTACTAATATTCTTTGATGTTACTATTTTGTCAAGGAGGTGGATGACAATGATCCACAGATTTTTCACCAATGCGGTGGCAAAGTTTGGGAATCTCAACTTGAGTACTGTTTCTAATAATCATCAGAAATATAATCTGTTCAGTATGCAGGTACTTCAATTAAGTATGCTTAATTCTGTTGCATGTCTGACTTCTACAGGTCATTATTCTTTTATGTTTAAGAATAAATCTTCTAGATTCTCAATTATTTGTTCCAGTTGAGTTTCTTGATTTTTATCCTTTGTTATTGATCCAGTACTTGAATTTGGAACTTAAGTGGAATGGGGCTCCTTTTGCATCAATGCTTCGCAGGCATCAATCTGATTACAATGATTCAAATGATAGTGTACTGAAGGTTGTTTTTGTCCAACTTACCTCCAGTTCGAAGATTAAGCAATTTAGATATTCATCTATTTTTCTTCAGGTAAAGTCGAAGAGGGCATTTTTTTAATTCTCTTTTGAATTTTTTGGTTCTTTTTTCTGCTTTCTTTCTTCTACCAAACTACGTTAGCTTGTAAAAAGCCATTAAAAATGATAAGCCTGTTAACTGCTAAAGATGCATATTAGAATTTGTAGGAGTCATATATGAATGAACACCTTGGTTCATGCAGCCAATTGATTTGAACCTTGATGAGGAGACATTAATGAAACTTGCTTCATTTTGGAGAAGATCTCTCAGTGACTCAGAGAGTCAGCGATTTTACTTTGATCATTTTGAAATCCATCCAATAAAGGTTCCACTCGTTTCATATTTTCATTTTTTTTCCCCGTTACCATGAATATTTTCTGTAACTGTTGTGTAATGAATGGGCTTTGTAGATCACTGCAAGCTTTATTCCTGGGGATTCACTTGCAAGTTATAGTTCAGCACAGGAAACTCTCAGGTCTTTAATTCATAGTGTAATTAAGGTTCGATTGGCATACGTTATCAATTTTTTAAAGTAATCCTATATAATAATGTAATTAGTCGTGTTGCACCTTGACCTTAATCTCTCTCTCTATCCAGGTGCCTCCCATGAAAGGTATGGTTGTAGAACTGAATGGCATCCTGATTAGCCATGCTTTGATAACACTGCGTGAGCTAATCA